GGGAGACAGCAGGCTATAATTCGTGTCAGGTGCGGGTAGTGAGAGCACTCCTCTTGGTCGCCCCGCCCAGCCTGAAAACACAGCAGCGCCAGCCAGCACCCAGGATCAAAATATACAACACTAAATAAAGGCCCAAAATATCATAATCAACACACAAATAGGAATGATATAAGAATATTTAATAGAGCTGGCGGGAGTAAGAACTAAAACGTGGTACCTTGGTCGCGAAACCTAAACAAGTACTGACGGAGTACTTCACTGTGGTATTACTGTATTTCTACTAAAGTAAAACCTCTGAGAACTTCTTACACCGCCGCTCTTAAATGTGCTTCAAATCAAATATGCCTATTAATATATATTTCTAATAGTTGTTATTTATTTCCTGGTAGGCGTCGGAGACCTTTCTGTGACCCGAGTTCATTTCCTGTCAGCCTTGTGTTCTGTTTCAGTTCTAAAGAATATATTTTTACATTTACCTTCAATCTATCATGTTTGTATTATTATTATTATGTGTATATGTTCATATTGACTTAATATAATTGATGTTTATCAGACGCTGATGGAACAATTCTGACACGTCTTGTTACTTGATTGAAAGTATTAATACAACAAGTTAATGTCCATCTAAGAATATATTGTTAGTATTAAAATAAATGTAGTAAAAGTAGAAAGAAATATTCAAGTACAATTATGAAGAACTTGAGTAAAGTTACATTCCACCACTGTTTATTATAGAGGAAGAGAATGTAAAATATTACATTGATCACCAGCGATGGATTTACGTTCTTGTGATTCTACTTCAGGGACCAGAGCAGGAGAAACAGCCAGAGTGGAGTTCAAACACCATTTCAACACTTTCGTAAGAGACTTCAGAACCAGAGAAGCGACCTGCTGACTTCCTGTCGCCTTCCTGAGCGCCACCAGGATGGCGTCCCCCGAGGAACGCCGAGGACCGGAGAGAGACGGCTCGTGCTTCAGCAGGGCGGCCAGAGCCATCCGGAGAGCCCTAATCTGCAGACATAGTTACGTCAAACCTGCCCCCACCCTTACACCCTCCTCTACCCCTTCCCTCTCCACTGCCCCCTCCGAGGCAGATTCAGAGGCAGATTCAGAGGAGTCTAATTCCTTTATAACCGGTGCATGTGCCTTTCTCCCTGGCCGTTCTTATACTCAAAAGGACGATACACATTATTCTCCCACAAATCAGTTTTTGCTTAAAACAAATCGCAAAAGTTCCGGCACAGAGAAAATAACGAAAACAGATTCCGGGTATTCTTCTGTAATCTCATACAAGCCATCACCTCCATCGATCACGACATACTTCCCAGGAGCCGGTCAGAAGAGGGCGGAGCCTGTTTCACACCTTCCGAACAGATCAGAACATGACGTGGACCCTGACTGCTCTCAGTCCCTCATCCCGATGGTCGAAGGCCCCCCACCTGCACGATGCCGCTCCGCGCTCGCCAGGGACTCGCCCGCTGCCGATGCGTTTGAGTCTTCCCCCACAGAGCACGAGAGGGAGCCGGGAGGAGACGCCGACGTTCTGACGGAAACGGCCGCTTCCTTTGCAGCCGCGAGCCACTCGGTCACCGGCGCTTCACCGGCGGCGGGTCAGCAGGAGTTCACGCCCGACATCACGGCCGATGAGGACGACGAGACCTTCAGGTTGCGGTGCTCCGGTCCGGGTCTGTACCTGTGCAGCGTGACCGGCCTGGTGTTCCACATGGGGGGCGATGGGGGGGAAGTGGTTTACAGGATCGTCCCCTGGGACTGGAGGCTGCTGGCCCGCCATCACAAGAAGGCCGCGGGACTCTTGTTCAACATCGAATGCGAGCAGCGGTCCGTGCTCGGCCTTCACCTCCCTCACTGCGAGATCCAGAGTGGCGGGGGGGGCGACTTCCTGTCAGTGGCTCATGTGGAAGACGAGGCCGTGGAGTTCCTCCGCCCGAGGGAGGTGACGGAGACTCACGTCGTGGTGGACGTCTCGGGGCTTTCTGCTCTTGGCAACGTCAGGGACGGGGATTCCCCCCCCCAGCCGGTCCGAGCGCTGGTTCTGCTCTTCTACCGGCCCCCAAAGGACCCAGACGACCCGGAGCCCGAGTCCCTCCTCAACGTGTTGATGCTGCCGAGTAACGTGGTGGTGCGAGAGGTGAAGTGCAGCAGGTGGAACGATGTCGGGCCTGAGTCCTACATAGAGACGACCTCGCAATGCAAACTGCACCCGGACCGGGAGTACGTCCTCTCCACGAGTCCCCAGGACGACCGGGTCATAGTTCAGCCCACCAAGGCCGAGTTTCACTGCAACTACTACGACAACTACATCCCGTCCTTCCAGGTGACCCTTGAGACGAGGCTGAAAGAGATTAAGCTGTTTCTGAATGAAGGCGACGGCTCCCTCAGCGTTTGGGAAAGACGAGTCGTCCTCTCGGACGCGGTTGTGGCGTCCCGCAGGCCGAGCGCTCTGGACCTCGTCCACAGCGAGAGGCTGCTGAAGGTACGAAGCGACCTCGTCAAGAGGATCTCTGAGCCTGTGCTCAAGAGTCTGCTGGACCGACTGTTGGAGAAGACGGTGATCACTGACGGCGAGTGGGAGGCAGCGGGGGCGATGCCGAACAACAGCGACAGAGCTCGCTTCGTCATCGATGCCGTGAGGAGGAAGGGCGATGACGCCAGTTTGGAGATGATCGAGTTCCTCAAGGAGGTCGACCCGTTCCTCTGCGAACACCTGGGGTTGATGTGAAGCCGTTCCTCTGCCAGCCGACAGGACTTCCTGTTTACTGTTGATGCTTCTCACAATCTCACATTTGCAGAAGGTTGGAGGTCAAGCCCGAGTTTGTTGTAATTTTCCCTATTTTATCGCTCATCGATTCGTACGGCCTTTTACCCAGAAGTCCATCACAGCGCTCCATCTTGGAAGACATCCCAATTCCTAAAATGGACCCTGAAGAATGAGGAGACACACCGCTAGAAAAACTGCTGACCACAGCAGGACCCGACAGAGGAAACAGTTCCTAATTGGATACATACTATGTTTTAGGGCAATTTTTGTCCTGCCGCATTATAACTTCAAAAGAGCTGCTGTCCTCTCACTTCTTACTCATCTCTTCATCTCCTCCCATCCAATCTTCTGTGAGCAAGGAGGTGAGGAAAGGAAATTAAGAAAGCACAAAATCTGGAAATGAGAAAAACGTGTGGTGATACAACCCGTGTCAATGGGTCCAACATAAATGGGGGACCAAACACGTTTGAAGCATGTTAATTTAAAGATTGCATGTACTAAACTAACCAAACATGGAATGTGTAATCAGTGCGTTAATCCCTGGTACTGCCAAAATGATTTAATAATGTCTGGATTTAGCTGTTTATCTGCTGATCGACATGCTTTATTTAACTATTTCTATCCTTCTTCCTATTATTGTCCTGTACCTGCATGAGTGTAAAGAAAATAATTGAATAATCAAATACTACAATGATTCAACAGACATACGATAGAATAAATACTGGGCTTCGATGACGTCGTCAGTATCCTTTGCAGCTTATATTGTTGTTGTTTTTTCGATCGTCCCTTCTTGGTCTTGACTGAGGAAAATATTTTTGTGAAATTCTTTAACTGACTTTGTTTAAACAGAAAATTTCAATTTGTACTGTATTGTACAGGACATTTTCTTTTTAGAAATAAAGGATCATTTGAAAGATAAGCTCCTTGTTTCTGTACAACAGAGATGAAACTTTAATCAGCTTCTTTTACAAAGTGAGTTAAACACACCGAAGTTTGTAAATTAATCCAAACGAGGTCTGCAAACTACAAGTAACCAGCCTGTCACCTAAAATCATGTCAACTGTGACTTCATGTTTTACTTTTAAAGGCTTCCAAATGATTTATCCAGTTAGTCTCAAACAAAAATTAACATTCCACTGATGCTGACTTCAGCAGACCGAATTGTAGAAGCAGTTTCTGTTCTTCACGCACCTTCTCTGACCTCTTGATCGTTTCTCTGAAGCGGTTTGAAGGCTGAACTCAACTCACAAAACGCACAAGCGGTTATTCGCGTGGCCGGAAAACAAGTGGCTGGGTCAAAATGATCATGTAAAGGGATTTTTCCTTTTCATGTCCCGTGTCTAATAAAGTAATAATGTACAAGAGGCAGTAATTTATCGTCAAAGATGTCACAGTTCATGGGTGGAGTTGGAGGGTTAAGAAAGAGTGAAACTAGTCGCCGTAGTGTGTCTGTTGCTGCTGTAGCAGGTGATCTCTCTCTTGCATCGTGTAGTTATTACACGGGGTGCCACATGCACGTCCGCAGGGGCCCACCAGAGGGCGCCCACGTGACACCCGGTCATGTTCGTACTGATCACACGTCCCGTTGCGTTCCCCCCTGCTGATCTCCACTTGCTCATCCAAAGCCCCCCAAGCAACGAAATGCAGCAAATCAACCAAACACTCGAGCGCCCTGAAAACACCCCAAACAGGAACATACCAGGTGAGTCATACTATTAATATGAAAATAAAGAAGAGAACAAAAAACATGAAGACGTCCCGTAAATGCAAATGCAGAGCGCCGCTTAAAATATTGATACCTAGTCGTTCAGCCAGTGACTGATCCTTAAGAACTAGAACGAGAAAGGGTAGCAAGTCCTTTCACAGCGGCGTCTATGACCTTGACGAGCAGAATCCAGCATTTATGATTCGGCGTAAATAAAAGTCAGATAGGGGCACGAAGGATGCCGCTAAAAGGTTGTTTGAATAAATCAAAAACTGGCTCAGGCCGTAGCTGTACGTTTAGCGAGGGTCTGCAACGTAGTCCAACTCTCACAACATCACTCGGCCTCCCTTGCAGCTCGTTCAACACTTCCCCTGCTTGGTCACATCCCTCAATGCCCCTTCTAACCAGATGCACTGTAACACAAAGGTTTGCCCCCCTCAAAGGGTGCGGCTGATATCTCTGGTGACTCTGGATCAAAGTCCCTATTCCATTACAGGTAGATAGAGAGTCCAGATTCTGCTTGAGGAAGGAGAGGCGACGACATCCTTTTCTAGCGGACTGGAGTGAAACATTACAGGTAAGGGTGTTTTTTTACGGTCTCTAGGTCTCGGTTTGGCAAAGGCTAATCTTCGCAAAGTTAGAAGTTACTTTAAAACAGGGGTCTCAAACTCAAACTAGAAAAGGCATTTCCTGCTGAAAATGCGTTGGAATGCAAAAAGCTGAAAGCTGCACTGAATATTTAAAAATAGCTGAAAATACAGAAAGTTGAAGGGAATTTGAATACATTTGCTGAAAAGCTGAAATGAATTTGAAATTGCTGAAAATACAGAAATGGGAGAAGCTGAAAGGAATCAATAGATTTGCTGAAAAAGCAGAAATGAAAACAGCTGAAATAAATTTGAAATATTGCAAAAAAATACAGAAATGAATATTAAAAAATTGCTGTTGATAGAGGCATAAGAATAGCTGAAATTATTTTAAAGAACTGCTGAAAATACAGGAAGTGGGGAAGCTGAATTTCAATAGATTTTCTAAAAACAGAAGTTGCAGGAGCTTAAATTTGTTTAAAATTGTTTGTAGTAATATTAGTAGTAGTATTAGTTATAATTGTGGTATTAGTAGTACTAGCAGTATAAGCAGTAATAGTAGGTTTAGTATCAATAGCAGTAGAAACAGCTGTAATACTATTAGCCATAGTAGTATTTGTAATAACATTAGTAGTAGTTGTAGTATTAATAGCAGTAGAAATACTAGTAGTATGGTAGTAGAAGTATCAGTTGTAGTACTAGAAGTACGAGTAATATTCGTAGTGGGAGACAGAATGTTTGTTATTCACACTTAAAAGTTTTTAATTAATAGGCCTCATCACAGACATTACAGTAAAAATTCCCTCCATGGGGCTTTTATTTTGAAATTATTGGATTGGGTGGGGTGGGGGGTGTAGATAGAGGGAGGGAGGGTGAGAGGGTGAGGAATGGAGGGGTGGTGAGGAAGAGATAGAGGGAGAGAGAGAGGAGGAGAAATAGACAGACATACTGACTGACTGAGTGATAAACAGTGAGAAGAGGTCAGGGTGGAGGGGGGAGGGGGGGCGAGTGTCTTTATCATATTGGTCTGTTGACAGAAAGCATAGCTGCGTCATGTGACTCCACTAATCAGGTCATATGAGCAGCTGTGAGTCACAGACAGATCCTGCAGCATGTGAGTGCTCGTAACCACGACAACGACGCACCTGTGATCATTAACGAGCTGCTGCAAAAAGGCAGAGACATGGCAGCTTACACAGCAAGTTACACAGAATCCACACCTCAAACAAATGAGAACCAGCGCAAAACTATAACAGCTATCTAAAAAATACGGCGTTTGTATGAGACCCAAGACTCTACCGAACGCGTGGATGTGCGTTTTATGTCTGTCCGGTAATAAATACGGCTCCTATGGCCGTTGACAAAACGTGTACCTTGTGGATTTTTGTGAGAAATATGTCGGCAGATTTGTATTGGAGCCTATGGGGCTTTTGGCAGAGGTTGTGTCACTCAAACACTCCTTGCGCCAAAACTAAAAAACTCTGGGATTCCATGAACACATTAATCCAATCAGCACAACCATACCCTCATTAATCTGAAGAAATGAAGCCTCTAGAGTGTATACTTTGGCTGCAAGGACAGAAGTTCCATATTTTTTTAACCAGATTCCTGCGATGCCCCACACTCTAGCCCTCGAGCTCTCCACTCTAGCAGACGCAATACACACTCATGTAAAAGTCAGAAACGGAGCGAAGAACTAGTGAAACATAATCAGTGATTATGAAAAAAGTACAATATATATTAAGAAGCATTTTTTTCATAAAATAGTTGAGACTTGTGTCAACATTTGAAAGTTTAAATGGTGTCTGTAGCTGAAAGATTTGCGAAGCTGAAAAATCTGAAAGTTGAAGAAGTTTAAGGAGGATTTGAAAACAAACTCCATTTGAAAACCATGTTAAAATATTAATGATTATTGATTTATATAAATTCAAGCTTAAGAGGTAGAAAGCTGAACATACATAGCCCTCAAGCCAGAAAGGAGCTGAACATTTTAATATTTGAACGGTTTTAATAGCTGAAAGTGTGAAGGAGTTGAAAGGTGCCACGGAAGAAATAGAATAAGTTTAATAAAGATTCGAAGAACAATACTTGGAATGCATCTTAATGCATTCCAACAATAAAGATTAGAAGAACAATACTTGGAATGCTTAAAGCATTCCAACTAATAAAGATTAGAAGAACAATACTTGGAATGCTTAAAGAATTCCAACTAATAAAGATTCGAAGAACAATACTTGGAATGCATCTTAATGCATTCCAACAATAAAGATTAGAAGAACAATACTTGGAATGCTTAAAGCATTCCAACTAATAAAGATTAGAAGAACAATACTTGGAATGCTTAAAGAATTCCAACTAATCAGCTGTGGGCCAGATGCAGCCCACTTCAACCGAACGCGGGCCAGACTAGCGTTCGAACGGCATGGTCGACAATAACACAACTTAACACTCACTTTCAAAAGCAGTCATTGAACCCCACCCTGGGGGATCGGTCCGAATGAGACTACAACACTAGTCCTCCTTTAACTCAGCGGGGGAGACCTAAGGTCATGTGACCGTGGAATTCCTTTATAGCCAAACGTGAAGTTACGTGAATCGAAGCTGCGTAGTGATGGACGGAGACGCTCGTCGGTGACGTCAGATGCTTCATGTGTTGTTAGTGTGAGTCGTAAAGGAAAACTTTATTAAACGAGCGATGCTAACGGTTAGTCACACGATCACCTGCGCGAAAGAGGGCAGGAAACTGAATTTCACCCTCCTGCTCTCTGCACCTCGGCCGACACACACGACCCGCCCCCCATGTCAGTCACATGCATGCCACGTTCACTGGACAAGCACACAGTAGGAAACCAGAACATCATAACATGTCCCACACAGCAGCTGACAGTGGGGTTACAGTATAAAACTTCGCACTAACATTACACTTTCATATTAAGGATGGGGCCACAAAATATCGTCCCGAGGGCCGCAATTGGCCCGCGGGCCGCGAGTTTGAGACCCCTGATATTAAGGATGGGGCCACAAAATATCGTCCCGAGGGCCGCAATTGGCCCGCGGGCCGCGAGTTTGAGAACCCTGCTTTAAAAGGTTTGAACTCTGATACTGCGAGATATTTATTGTCACGCGCTTTAGTGCTGAGAAGTGCAGACTGAGGCTCGGGTCCTGGGGAGGCTAGATGACGGTGGTGAATCGTAAACCACACCGGTGGGTCGAGGACTTCCTGTCTGAGAGCAAAACGTTTGTGAACCCGGGCCGGGCCAAAATACGGGAGGAAGGGATTTTCTCCATTTCCGCTCTCTAAAATCCTGTACAAATAGGAATGATAGAATATTTAATAGAGCTGGCGGGAGTAAGAACTAAAACGTGGTACCTTGGTCGCGGAACCTAAACCAGTACTGACGGAGAACTTCACTGTGGTATTACTGTATTTCTACTAAAGTAAAACCTCTGAGAACCTCTTACACCGCCGCTCTTAAATGTGCTTCAAATCAAATATGCCTATTAATATATATTTCTAATAGTTGTTATTTATTTCCTGGTAGGCGTCGGAGACCTTTCTGTGACCCGAGTTCATTTCCTGTCAGCCTTGTGTTCTGTTTCAGTTCTAAAGAATATATTTTTACATTTACCTTCAATCTATCATGTTTGTATTATTATCATTATGTGTATATGTTCATATTGACTTAATATAATTGATGTTTATCAGACGCTGATGGAACAATTTTGACACGTCTTGTCTTGTTACTTGAATAAAATTATTAATACAACAAGTAAATGTCCATCTAAGAATGTATTGTTAGTATTAAAATAAAGGTAGTAAAAGTAGAAAGAAATATTCAAGTACAATTATGAAGAACTTGAGTAAAGTTACATTCCACCACTGTTTATTATAGAGGAAGAGAATGTAAAATATTACATTGATCACCAGCGATGGATTTACATTCTTGTGATTCTACTTCAGGGACCAGAGCAGGAGAAACAGCCAGAGGGGAGTTCAAACACCATTTCAACACTTTCGTAAGAGACTTCAGAACCAGAGAAGCGACCTGCTGACTTCCTGTCGCCTTCCTGAGCGCCACCAGGATGAACTAGGCTTGAGTCTGAGAGCGATCTGGAGGGAGAACGTCCGTGACTTCTAATAACAGGTGTGTTTGAGAGAATCAGAACTTTGGTTTGTTCAAAATACTTAGTCCTTAGTAATGTACATTCATACAATTATATGTCTTTACTTAAGTATTTTAAATTTCTTTCAATTTGTACTGCCAGTAATTTTACACTGGTATTACTGTATTTCTACTGAAGTAAACATTCTTCCACCACCGCTCTGTAATGGGCTTCAAATCAAATATACCTCATATATATTTCTAATGTCATTTATTTCCTGGTAGATGTTTGTGATCTTCCTGTGATCTGGGTTCATTTTCTGTCGGTTTTGTGGTCTGTTTTAGTTCTCAAGCTCCTCTTTTTACATTCACCTTCAATCTGTCATATTTGTATTATTATGTGTATTTGCTTATATTGACTTGATATTAGTCATCTTTATGAGAGTTAATGGAACAACTCTGACATGTCTTGTTACTGGTTGAAGAGGGTTTAAAATGTTACTTAAGTATTAATACAATTGGTCTGTTACAAGTAAAAGTCCAACCTAAAAGTGCATTAGCAAAAAATAAAGTTAATGGACTAGGGAAGAAAATAGAATTAATATACACATTATATACACGTTATATACAATATAATAAGATAAAAAAAATTTAAATTATTAAATCAAATTAAATAAACTAAACTAAAACAAAAGAATAACCTTCAAGAAGAGACAGTGCAAAAATAACAATTTGTAAAAGGAGAAGAGGAAGAGGAAGAGAAGCAACATCACAGCAGGTTGTTATTGTCGTCATTTGGCCAGAGATGATTTATTGTAAAGTGTTATTGCACTGGGCAGGAATGATCTCCTGTATCGGTCCTTGTGACAGCGGAGCTGAAGCAATCTGAACGTGCTCCGCTGTCCCTGTAGCAGGTGGTGGAGGTGGTGGTCAGGATTATCCGATATGGATAACAGTTTCTTCAGTGACCTCCCCTCCAACACCTGGGGAGGTTACTGAAGAAACTGTACCACCAGAGACTAAAAGCAGTCTCTGCGTCATCAGCTGTACCTCCTGCTCCCGTTGCCTAGCAACCTGCTGAGCTTGACAATAAAAGCCTTAAAAAGCCCAAAACCTATAATGAAGATAATCTGATTATTTCATATAATTTAGGAAGATACGCTGCTCCTCTGGAGCATGATATATTTCAAGCTGAGAGAGAACATTTTCCGTTTTTTTTAAATTCAAATGAAATCAGTTAATTTATAATACTTTACTAATTTAAAATTACTTTCAGTTAAAAGTCATTTTGCAATGTTAAGGCAGAGGAGATTCCATCAATGTTGTCAATAAAAACCACAACAGCAAACACATTTATTAACTTGTATGCAAGGACTTATTTTTCTGTTGCATAGGATACAACGTAGGGAGCATTTTTTGGTTGAAAAGACGTTTAAAAGACGTCTATGTTTAGAACACATTTCAACGTGATTTTTAATACGGTAATATTTCAAGACATTTCAATATGAAACGTGAAAGGCAATGTTGTGTTCAAAATGAAGAAACGCCAGACGGACAAAGGACATCGTGGATCGAAAGGTTAAAATTCAAAGGTCAAAAGTATTTAATAAAAGAGAAGGTAAAAAAGAAGAAGTATTACATGCATGTATTTTTGTTGATTACATTATAATGAATACAATTGTAGCTGCATTGGTATTCTATTGATTGCGGTTTAAAAATTACAACATTACCTCGGTATTACACTATCGGTTTAATTTATGAACGCAGTTGTCAGTTTGTTCATAATATTCTACAGTATAACAGCGATAGATTTACATTCTTGTAATTCTATTTCAGGGACCAGAGCCAGAGAAACAACCAGAGGGGAATTCAAACACATCTTCCACACTTCCGTCTTTAAAGCGACCTCATAACCAGCGAAGCGACCTGCGGACTTCTGTCGCCTCTGTGAGCGCCACTACGATGGCGCTCTCCAAGGAACGGTTCTGGAAAAAGACGACTCGTGCTTCAGCAGGTTGGCCAGGGCCTCTCCTCCACGGTCAGGTCACGACAAAGGTCAAATCTCCCCTGAGATCGCCTACACTTCAAGAACCTCGTAAGAGAACCGCAGAAGGCCAAAGCTCCGGGAGAGAGAAAAGGACGCAAAGAGATTCCGCGACGTCTTATGACTTCAGTTACGAGAGTTATCCCTCTAGCGGCGTGTCTCCACTGAGTCTGGTAACCTCTGTGGAGGTCAGGGCGCACTTTCAGGCCACAAGCTCACCCAACATGTTCCTCAAACGCCGCTTCGAGGAGTTCACGCCTGACATCACTGCTGATAAACACAACGGAGACTTTCACCGGCGCGGGTCAGCAGGAGTTCACGCCCGACATCTCGCCCGATAGAGGGCAACGAGACCTTCAGGTTGCGGTGCTCCGGTCCGGGTCTGTACCTGTGCAGCATGACCGGCCTGGTGTTCCACATGGGGGGCGATGGGGGGGAAGTGGTTTACAGGATCGTCCCCTGGGACTGGAGGCTGCTGGACCGCCATCACAAGAAGCCCGCGGGACCCTTGTTCAACATCGAATGCGAGCAGCGGTCCGTGCTCGGCCTTCACCTCCCTCACTGCGAGATCCAGAGTGGCGGGGGGGGCGACTTCCTGTCGGTGGCTCATGTGGAAGACGAGGGCGTGGAGTTCCTCCGCCCGAGGGAGGTGACGGAGACTCACGTCGTGGTGGACGTCTCGGGGCTTTCTGCTCTTGGCAACGTCAGGGACGGGGATTCCCCCCCCCAGCCGGTCCGAGCGCTGGTTCTGCTCTTCTACCGGCCCCCAAACGACCCAGACGACCCGGAGTCCCTCCTCAACGTGTTGATGCTGCCGAGTAACGCGGTGGTGGATAAGGTGCTGAGCGCCCGGGGGAAGCTGGTCGAGCCTGAGTCCTACATAGAGACGACCTCGCAATGCAAACTGCACCCGGACCGGGAGTACGTCCTCTCCACCAGTCCCCAGAACAACCGGGTCATAGTTCAGCCCACCAAGGCCGAGTTTCACTGCAACTACGACAACTACATCCCGTCCTTCCAGGTGATCTTAAAGAGGAGGCTCAAACACATCAAGCTGTTTCTGAAAGAAAGCGACGGCGGCGTCGGCGTCTGGGAAAGACGAGTCGGCCTCTCCACCGTCAGGCCGTCCAGCAGGCCGAGCACTCTGGACCTCGTCCACAGCAAGAGCCTGATGGAGGTACGGACCGGCTTCGTCGAGAGCATCTCTGGACCTGTGCTCAAGAGTCTGCTGGACCGACTGTTGGAGGAGAAGGTGATCACTGACGCCGAGAGGGAGGCAGCGGAGGCGGAGCCGAACAGAAGCGACAGAGCTCGTTCCGTCATCGACACCGTGAGGAGGAAGGGCAAAGAAGCCAGGTCGAAGATGATTGGCTTCCTCATGGATGACGACCCGTTCCTCTGCGATCACCTGGGGTTGTTTTGAAGCTTCCTCTGCCGGCCGACAGGACTTCCTGTTTACCGTTGATTCCTCTCTGAATCTCACATTTGCAGAAGGTTGGAGGTCAAGTCCCTAGACTTAGTAGCTGTTCTGGAGCTTTTTTAATTTTCTCATAGTAAAGATATAGATATATTTCACTTTTTCAAAGTACTTTATAGACTTTTTGTTACTTAGTTAGTAGTTGAGATCATGGGGTTGTAATTTTCCCTATTTTGTCGCTCATCGATCGATTGATCCAGATGTCCATCACAGCGCTCCATCACATTTATACTGGTTATGTTTTAGGGAAATCCTGACACTTTACAACTCCAAAAGAGCCGATGTCCTCTCATCTCCTCTTCTCCTCCCAGCCAATGTTCTGTGGGCAAGGAGGAGAGGAAAGGAATCAAGGAAGCAAAAAATCTGGAGATAGACCTGTGGAGTTGTCCATCATGATAGAACCCGTCTCAATGGCTGCAACACAAATGGGGCACCAAACACGTTTGAAGTAATAAATAAGCATGTTAATTTAAAGATTGCATGTACTAAACTAACCAAACATGGAGTGTGTAATCAGTGCGTTACTCCCTGGTACTGCGAAAAGGATTTAATAATGTCTGGATTTAGCTGTTTATCTGCTGATCGACATGCTTTATTTAACTATTTCTGACCTTCTTCCTATTATTGTCCTGTACCTGCATGAGTGTAAAGAAAATAATTGAATAATCAAATACTACAATGATTCAACAGATATACGATAGAATAAATACTGGGCTTTGATGACGTCGTCAGTATCCTTTGCAGCTTATATTGTTGTTGTTTTTTCGATCGTTCCTTCTTGGTCTTGACTGAGGAAAATATTTTTGTGAAATTCTTTAACTGACTTTGTTTAAACAGAAAAGTTCAATTTGTACTGTATTGTACAGGACATTTTCTTTTTAGAAATAAAGGATCATTTGAAAGATAAGCTTCTTGTTTCTGCACAACAGAGATGAAACTTTAATCAGCTTCTTTTACAAAGTGAGTTAAACACACCGAAGTTTGTAAATTAATCCAAACGAGGTCTGCAAACTACAAGTAACCAGCCTGTCACCTAAAGTCATGTCAACTGTGACTTCATGTTTTAAAGGCTTCCAAATGATTTATCCAGTTAGTCTCAAACAAAAATTAACATTCCACAGATGCTGACTTCAGCAGACCGAATTGTAGAAGCAGGTTAAGACTCAAGTTTCTGTTCTTCACGCACCTTCTCTGACCTCTTGATCGTTTCTCTGAAGCGGTTTGAAGGCTGAACTCAACTCACAAAATGCACAAGCGGTTGTTCGCGTGGCCGGAAAACAAGTGGCTGGGTCAAAATGATCATGTAAAGGGATTTTTCCTTTTCATTGTCCCATGTCTAATAAAGTAATAATGTACAAGAGGCAGTAATTTATCGTCAAAGATGTCACAGTTCATGGGTGGAGTTGGAGGGTTAAGAAAGAGTGAAACTAGTCGCCGTACGTGTGTCTGTTGCTGCTGTAGCAGGTGATCTCTCTCTTGCATCGTGTAGTTATTACACGGGGTGCCACATGCACGTCCGCAGGGGCCCACCAGAGGGCGCCCACGTGACACCCGGTCATGTTCGTACTGATCACACGTCCCGTTGCGTTCCCCCCTGCTGATCTCCACTTGCTCATCCAAAGCCCCCCAAGCAACGAAATGCAGCAAATCAACCAAACACTCGAGAAAACACCCCAAACAGGAACATACCAGGTGAGTCATACTATAAATATGAAAATAAAGAAGAGAACAAAAAACATGAAGACGTCCCGTAAATGCAAATGCAGAGCGCCGCTTAAAATATTGATACCTAGTCGTTCAGCCAGTGACTGATCCTTAAGAACTAGAACGAGAAAGGGTAGCAAGTCCTTTCACAGCGGCGTCTATGACCTTGACGAGCAGAATCCAGCAGCCGTCTCAGCCGAGAATGGCTCGGCGTAAATAAAAGTCAGATAGGGGCACGAAGGATGCCGCTAAAAGGTTGTTTGAATAAATCAAAAACTGGCTCAGGCCGTAGCTGTACGTTTAGCGAGGGTCTGCAACGTAGTCCAACTCTCACAACATCACTTGCAGCTCGTTCAACACTTCCCCTGCTTGGTCACATCCCTCAATGCCCCTTCTAACCAGATGCACTTTAACACAAAGGTTTGCCCCCCTCAAAGGGTGCAGCTGATATCTCTGGTTCCTCTGGATCAAAGTCCCTATTTCAATGCAGGTAGATAGAGAGTCCAGAGTCTGCCTGAGGAAGGAGAGGCGACGACATCCATTTCTAGTGGACCGGAGTGAAACATTACAGGTAAGGGTGTTTTTTTACGGTCTCTAGGTTTCGGTTTGGCAAAGGCTAATCTTCGCAAAGTTAGAAGTTACTTTAAAAGGTTGAACTCTGATACTGCGAGATATTTATTGTCACGCGCTTTAGTGCTGAGAAGTGCAGACTGAGGCTCGGGTCCTGGGGAGGCTAGATGACGGTGGTGAATCGTAAACCACGCCGGTGGGTCGAGGACTTCCTGTCTGAGAGCAAAACGTTTGTGAACCCGGGCCGGGCCAAAATACGGGAGGAAGGGATTTTCTCCATTTCCGCTCTCTAAAATCCTGTACAAATAGGAATGATAGAATATTTAATAGAGCTGGCGGGAGTAAGAACTAAAACGTGGTACCTTGGTCGCGGAACCTAAACCAGTACTGACGGAGTACTTAACTGTGGTATTACTGTATTTCTACTAAAGTAAAACCTCTGAGAACTTCTTACACCGCCGCTCTTAAATGTGCTTCAAATCAAATATGCTTATTAATATATATTTCTAATAGTTGTTATTTATTTCCTGGTAGGCGTCGGAGACCTTTCTGTGACCCGAGTTCATTTCCTGTCAGCCTTGTGTTCTGTTTCAGTTCTAAAGAATATCTTTTTACATTTACCTTCAATCTATCATGTTTGTATTATTATCATTATGTGTATATGTTCATATTGACTTAATATAATTGATGTTTATCAGACGCTGATGGAACAATTTTGACACGTCTTGTCTTGTTACTTGAATAAAATTATTAATACAACAAGTAAATGTCCATCTAAGAATGTATTGTTAGTATTAAAATAAAGGTAGTAAAAGTAGAAAGAAATATTCAAGTACAATTATGAAGAACTTGAGTAAAGTTACATTCCACCACTGTTTATTATAGAGGAAGAGAATGTAAAATATTACATTGATCACCAGCGATGGATTTACATTCTTGTGATTCTACTTCAGGGACCAGAGCAGGAGAAACAGCCAGAGGGGAGTTCAAACACCATTTCAACACTTTCGTAAGAGACTTCAGAACCAGAGAAGCGACCTGCTGACTTCCTGTCGCCTTCCTGAGCGCCACCAGGATGGCGTCCCCCGAGGAACGCCGAGGACCGGAGAGAGACGGCTCGTGCTTCAGCAGGGCGGCCAGAGCCATCCGGAGAGCCCTGATCTGCAGATGTAGTTACGCCAAACCTGCCCCCACCCTTACACCCTCCTCTACCCCTTCCCTCTCCACTGCCCCCTCCGAGGCAGATTCAGAGGAGTCTAATTCCTTTATAACCGGTGCATCTGCCTTTCTCCCTGGCCGTTCTTATACTCAAAAGGACGATACATATTATTCTCCCACAAAACAGTTTTCGCGTCAAACAAATCGTAAAAGTTCCGGCACAGAGAAAAGAACAAAAACAGATTCCACTCCGCCTTCTTCTGTCATCTCATACAAGCCATCACCTCCATCGATCACGACATACTTCCCAGGAGCCGGTCAGAAGAGGGCGGAGCCTGTTTCACACCTTCCGAACAGATCAGAACATGACGTGGACCCTGACTGCTCTCAGTCCCTCATCCCGATGGTCGAAGGCCCCCCACCTGCACGATGCCGCTCCGCGCTCGCCAGGGACTCGCCCGCTGCCGATGCGTTTGAGTCTTCCCCCACAGAGCACGAGAGGGAGCCGGGAGGAGACGCCGACGTTCTGACGGAAACGGCCGCTTCCTTTGCAGCCGCGAGCCACTTGGTCACCGGCGCTTCACCGGCGGCGGGTCAGCAGGAGTTCACGCCCGACATCACGGCCGATGAGGGCGACGAGACCTTCAGGTTGCGGTGCTCCGGTCCGGGTCTGTACCTGTGCAGCATGACCGGCCTGGTGTTCCACATGGGGGGCGATGGGGGGGAAGTGGTTTACAGGATCGTCCCCTGGGACTGGAGGCTGCTGGACCGCCATCACAAGAAGCCCGCGGGACCCTTGTTCAACATCGAATGCGAGCAGCGGTCCGTGCTCGGCCTTCACCTCCCTCACTGCGAGATCCAGAGTGGCGGGGGGGGCGACTTCCTGTCAGTGGCTCATGTGGAAGACGAGGGCGTGGAGTTCCTCCGCCCGAGGGAGGTGACGGAGACTCACGTCGTGGTGGACGTCTCGGGGCTTTCTGCTCTTGGCAACGTCAGGGACGGGGATTCCCCCCCCCAGCCGGTCCGAGCGCTGGTTCTGCTCTTCTACCGGCCCCCAAACGACCCAGACGACCCGGAGTCCCTCCTCAACGTGTTGATGCTGCCGAGTAACGCGGTGGTGGATAAGGTGCTGAGCGCCCGGGGGAAGCTGGTCGAGCCTGAGTCCTACATAGAGACGACCTCGCAATGCAAACTGCACCCGGACCGGGAGTACGTCCTCTCCACGAGTCCCAGGGACGACCGGGTCATAGTTCAGCCCACCAAGGCCGAGTTTCACTGCAACTACTACGACAACTACATCCCGTCCTTCCAGGTGACCCTTGAGACGAGGCTGAAAGAGATTAAGCTGTTTCTGAATGAAGGCGACGGCTCCCTCAGCGTTTGGGAAAGACGAGTCGTCCTCTCGGACGCGGTTGTGGCGTCCCGCAGGCCGAGCGCTCTGGACCTCGTCCACAGCGAGAGGCTGCTGAAGGTACGAAGCAACCTCGTCAAGAGGATCTCTGAGCCTGTGCTCAAGAGTCTGCTGGACCGACTGTTGGAGAAGACGGTGATCACTGACGGCGAGTGGGAGGCAGCGGGGGCGATGCCGAACAACAGCGACAGAGCTCGCTTCGTCATCGATGCCGTGAGGAGGAAGGGCGATGACGCCAGTTTGGAGATGATCGAGTTCCTCAAGGAGGTCGACCCGTTCCTCTGCGAACACCTGGGGTTGATGTGAAGCCGTTCCTCTGCCGGCCTGTTTACTGTTGATGCTTCTCACAATCTCACATTTAGTAGTTGAGATAATGGGGTCTTTTGTAATTTTCCCTATTTTGTTGCTTATCGATTTGTACAACCTTTTACCCAGAATTCCATCACGGGGAAATATTTTTGACTGATTATTTGTTGTAAAAACAGAAAACAGGTTAAATTTGTACTGTATGGCACAGGACATTTTCTTTGTAGAAATAAACAATAATTTGAAACCCAAGCTTGTTGTTTTTTTAACTAACATCTGAACAACAGAGATGAAACTTTGATCAGCTTCTTTTACAAAGTGAGTTGAACACACTGCAGTTTGTAAATGAATCCAAACGTAATGTTTTCGGCGGCACCCGTGTGTTCGATGCTGCAGCCGTTTGGCTCCAGCAGAAAGAGCACTTTTCTCATCCAGGGCAAAAGGGCAGGTGCTTGAGCACCATTGGGGGTCTGTCTGTGCACGTGCCTGTTACTTAGTTAATAGTTCAGATCATGGGCTCTGTTGAAATTTTCCCTATTTTGTCATTTATCGATTCGTACGGCCTTTTAGCCAGAGGTCCATCACAGCGCTCCATCTTGGTGGAAATCCCAATTCCTAAAATGGACCCTGAAGAATGTTACGGGTTCGTTTGGACCCTCGTAGGAGGCCTCACTCCTTTGTTCTCGTCCCGGCCGGAAACGATGAATCAAAAAAGTCAACATGCTCAAATTTAAAAATGAACAAGTGTTCAATAACTAAACAAAGTGAAAAGGAATCCAGTTACAAAGTGAAATACAATGCGAACAGTGAAACATTTAGCGAAATAGAGAATTCTCTGACCAAGTCAAAGTGGCTGCAGGAGAATTCTAACAGTGGTCCTTTGAAAACTCCTGAGGGTGCATTTGAATGTCATTGGCTTCTGAGTGAATATAACAAAGCACGCATAATTTGTCCTCATCTTATTACATTACAGGTCATTTAGCTGACGCTTTTATCCAAATCGACATTACATTTTTAACCCATGGCTCTTTTACATTTTGCCCAGGGAGCAATTAGGTTAGGTGTCTTGCTCAGGGACACGGGGCAGCCAGGACTCGAACCACCAACGTTGTGGTTCCCAGCGCACCCTCTCTACCGATCTTATCTTATAACTAGTACACTTCATCGTCAAACCGCTTATCCTGCACACAGGGTCACAGGGGGGCTGGAGTCTGTCCCAGCCAACTTCAGGCGATAGACGGGATTCACCCTGGACTGGTCACACAGAGACAACAGACCATTCACACACCTACGGGTGATTTAGAGTCACCATCAACCTGATCCCCAGAGCATGTCTTTGGACTGTGGGAGGAAGCCAGAGAACCCGGAGAGAACCCACGCAGACACGGGGAGAACATGCAGACTCCACACAGAAAGGACCTTTTTGCTGTGAGGCCACAGTGCTGACCACCACACCACCGTGCCGCCCACTTTAATTACAACACATCATAAATGATCACACTTCATCACACTACATCATGAGATCTAATACAGTTTGTGTGGTCTTGCATTCAGTTGCTCATCAACTACCTGACAGGAGAAAAAAACTCCCCAAAAACCCTCTTTGGGGAGAAAATTGGGAGAAATCTGGTAATTAGCATCCGTCCCCAGGTTTTAACATCACATTGTGACAGAATGTTAATGTGTGCAGTGTTTATATGATTTACATGACTCTACATTGTGTTTGATTGCATTCACTTCATCTAACACGCTAATGTAATAACTAATATCTAACATCACATAAACTACAATTCTAGACTAAACATTTCTACTTGTACTATAGTTTCTATCACCAGGCGTCCACTTCTACTTAAATCCCTAACAAGAACGAGGAGACACGGCGCTGGAATCACTGCTGTCCACAGCAGGACCCGACAGAGGAAATCGTTCCTTATTGTATTCATACTAATTAAGATGATCAGCTCGGACCGATGCACTAAAAACAGATTCTGTGGCATTTTAACACAATTCTTTAATAACCTTTTACATTTATCTTCATCATCTTTTGGGCCAATTTTAGTCCTGACACTTTACAACTTCAAAAGAGCTCTCGTTCCAGTGAAATCACACCGGAGGGACGGAGGATCACCAAACTGGACGAGATCCTCCTCAACGGCAACAACATCACCATGGTGTGTAAACACGCCGCCTGTCCCACGCGACCTCCTCCTGACCTTCATGATTTATATCTACATGTTTCTTTGCAGCTCATCCCTGGAGAAGAAGGTTCTGAAGTCTGAGACGAGAATCATCACTGGCGAGACTGTGGATTTAATCCATTTCCATGTTGTTCTTCCTGAGTTTCTTTTTATAAATGAAGAATTTGAGACACAAGCTCTTTAACTAATATCTGTTCAACAGAGATGAAACTTTGATTTTTCTTCTTTTACAAAGTGACTTATGCACACGCTGCATTTTGTAAATAAACCGCAAGTAACTAACCCGTCACCTAAAATCATGTGATTCACATGATTCTGTCCCTTCCTGTTTACGTTTGCCCATTTTTTTCCCACGGTAAATGTTCATGCCACAGACTGATCTCAGCAGACGGAATTTTAGCCACAGGTCGAGACATGAGTTTCTGTTCCCAGAAGAGATTCTGACTTCCTGATAACTTCTCTGAAATAGTTTGGAGGCTGAACGCAGCTCACCTGTAGTCTGAGAGCGACCTGGAGGGAGAACGTCCGTGACTTCTAATAACAGGTTGTGGTGGCGGGCGTGGTTTGGCTTGACTGCAGAGGGGACTTAGAAGGGAGTGGTTCGGGGAACGGTGCCGGGGGAGGCATGATCAGCCTCAGCTGATACTAATCAGTGTGTGTCTTCTACCTTTAAGTAGGAGAGATCCAGTGACAGCTCGAGAAGCTGGCAAAGGAGCTGGAGCCGATTGTGTGTGCGGTCCAAAAACGGTTCAATAAAGACTGTTGCTAAACCAGTACGCTGTATCCTCGTCATTTCCCGTCCCCCCCAGAGGACCGTACGTTACAGTGGCACCCAACGTGACTGGGGGATGGAAACGGCGGACGGCAACCACCAGCAGGGGATGACTTCTGGTGATTCAGTCATCCAGGCCGGACTGACCTCATAGTACACAGTATCGAGACGCCCCCGGGCGTGACGGTGAGGTCACACCTCTACAGGTTGCCCAAACACAAGAAAGAAGTGGTTCTGAGGGAATTGGCCAGTATGTTGGATGGGGGTAATAAAAGAGTCCAACAGTGCCTGGTGCAGCCCCATCGTCCTTGTGGCTAAGAAGGATGGATCTGTACGGTTCTGCGTGGACTATCGCAGGGTGAATGACGTGTCACGGTTAGATGCCTACCCAATGCCCCGGGTCGACGAACTCCTGGACCGGCTAGGCACTGCACGTTTCTTCACGACACTGGATTTAAGGGCTACTGGCAGATTCCTCTGTCGCCAGAGTCCAAGGAGAAAACGGCATTCTCCACCCCGTACGGTTTGTACCAATTTACCACACTTCCCTTCGGGTTGTTTGGGGCCCCGGCCACGTTTCAGCATCTCATGGATCGGGTGCTGCGTCCACACTCTGCATATGCTGCCGCCTACCTGGACGACGGTATTATCCACAGCACCACCTGGGCAGAGCATATGCGGCAGGTGGGCGCGGTGCTGGAGGCGCTGGGACGGGCGGGGCTCACCGCCAACCCGGGGAGGTGTGCAATTGGACGGGTGGAGGTACGGTATTTGGGGTACCACTTGGGTGGCGGGCAGGTGCGCCCTCAGGTGGACAAGACGGAAGCTATCGCGGCCCAAGACCAAAAAAGAGGTGAGGCGGTTCTTGGGGCTGGCGGGGTATTACAGGTGGTTCATCCCCGGCTTCGCGGACCTCACCAGCCACTTGACCAGCCTTACCTGGAAAGGTGCGTCAGATCCGGTCCAGTGGTCGGAGCAGTGCCAGCAGGTGTTTGAGAAGGTAAAACAGGATCTCTGTGGGGAACCACTCCTTCATACTCCTAACTTCTCTCTCCCCTTTATTCTGCAGGCCGACGCGTCGAACAGGGGGCTGGGGGCCGTTTTGCCCCAGGAGGTGGGGGGGTCGACCGCCCCGTCGTGTACATCAGCAGGAAGCTGTCCGAGAGGGAGGCCAGGTACAGCACAGTGTAAAAGGAGTGCCTGGCCATCCGGTGGGCGGTCGACTCCCTACGCTACTACCTCCTGGGACGCTCATTCACCCTCTGTTCGTCCCACGGCCCGCTCCAATGGCTCCACCGCATGAAAGATGCCAACGCCCGGATCACTCGGTGGTATCTGGCTCTACAGCCTTTTAATTTCAAGGTGGTCCATAGGCCGGGGGCACAGATGGTCAGATGGAGAGATCCAGCGGCAGCTCGAGAAGCTGGCAAAGGAGCTGGAGCCGATCGTGTGTGCGGTCCAAAAACGGTTCAATAAAGACTTGATGCTTGTTGCTAAACCAGTACGCTGTATCCTCGTCATTTCCCGTCCCCCCCAGAGGACGGCACGTTACACAGGTGTTAGAGAGAATCAGAGATTGAAGGAAGTTAATTCATTTTACGAATTTTGGTTTGTTCAAAATACATTTAGTGATGTCATTTCGTACAATTTTAAGTCTTTACTTAAGTATTTTCAATTTCTTTCAATTTGTACTTCTATTGAACAATAAGTATGATTTTGTTTTGCAGATTCAGATTGATAAAACAAGATAGTGAATAAATTATTGTGTAATAAAATAGATTACGGTGAAACGATTTATTTCGCAAATAATCCAGCAGATAAAGTTAAATGAGCTCATCTGCAGCATTAATGTGATGAACATTCATGCTATGATATTATATATATTTTTTAGGTGAAATGCACCACTCTGTATAAAGAGTAATACATTTACATGACTCTCACAGAGTAATTTTACACTGGTATTACTGTATTTCTACTGAAGTAAACACCACCGCTCTTTAATGGGCTTCAAATCAAATATGCCTCATAATATATATTTCTAATGTTATTTATTTCCTGGAAGATGTTTGTGATCTTACTGTGATCTGGGTTCATTTTCTGTTTGTTTTGTCAGTTTGTTCATAATATTCTACAGTATACCAGCGATAGATTTACATTCTTGTAATTCTATTTCAGGGACCAGAGTCAGAGAAACAACCCATCTTCAACAATTTTCGTCTTTAAAGAGACATCATAACCAGCGAAGCGACCTGCGGACTTCTGTCGCCTTTGTGAGCGTACACTGCGATGGCGTTCTCCAAGGAACGGGACCAGAGAGAAACGACTCGTAATTCAACAGTTCAACGTAGATACGTTTGGGCTTTATGCCTCAATGAGTGAATATAACAAAGCATGCAGAGTTTTTCTTCATCTTATAACTAGTACACCTTAATTACAACACATCATTAATGATCACACTTCATCACACTACATCAGGAGATCTAATACAGTTCATGTGGTCCAATTCTCAAGACATTTGCCTCAAATATAGTTTACATGACAATACGTTCTGTGCGGTTTTAACACAATTCTTTATTAACCTTTTACATTTATCTTCATCGTGTTTTAGGCAAATTTTAGTCCTGACGCTATACAACTTCAAAAGAGCTGCTGTCCTCTCACCTCTTCCTCACCTCTTCATCTCCTCCCATGCAATCTTCTGTGGGCAAGGAGGCGAGGAAAGGAATCAAGGAAGCACAAAATCTGGAAGTGAGAAAGACCTGTGGTGGCGTCCATCATATTATAACCCGTCTCAATGGCTGCAACGCAAATGGTGGACCAGACACGTTTGAAGTAATAAATAAGCATGTTTATTTAAAGTGCGTTACTCAACTTCAACGACTTCGTCAGTATCCTTTCCAGTTTAATCACAAGCGTCTGTTAATTAACTCTGCACTTTCAGATATGGTCCTCGAAGATGTGACAGAATTGTGAGAACGCTTCTTTTTTTGCTAAATTAACTCGATATGAATCTCTCGTTCCAGTGAAATCACACCGGAGGGACGGAGGATCACGAAACTGGACCAGATCCTCCTCAACGGCAACAACATCACCATGGTGTGTAAACACGCCGCCTGTCCCACACGACCTCCTCCTGACCTTCATGATTTATATCTACATGTTTCTTTGCAGCTCATCCCTGGAGGAGAAGGTCCTGAAGTCTGAGACGAGAATCATCACTGGCGAGACTGTGGATTTAATCCATTTCCATGTTGTTCTTCCTGAGTTTGTTATATTGTTGTTTTATTGTTCCTTCTACGTGTTGATTGAGGGAGATATTTTTGTAAGATTCATTGAGTATTTGTTAAATTTGAACTGTATCGCACAGAAAATTTCTTTTTAGAAATAAAGAATTTGAGACACAAGCGCTTTAACGCCTGTGTTCTGTTCAACAGAGATGAAACTTTGATTTTTCTTCTTTTACAAAGTGACTTATGCACACGCTGCATTTTGTAAATAAACCGCAAGTAACTAACCCGTCACCTAAAATCATGTGATTCACATGATTCTGTCCCTCACTGTTTAACTTTTGCCCTTTTTTCCCACGGTAAATGTTCATGCCACAGACTGATCTCAGCAGACGGAATTTTAGCCACAGGTCGAGACTTAAGTTTCTGTTCCCAGAAGAGATTCTGACTTCCTGATAATTTCTCTTAAATAGTTTGAAGGCTGAACGCAGCTCACCTGTAGTCTGAGAGCGACCTGGAGGGAGAACGTCCGTGACTTCTAATAACAGGTGTGTTTGAGAGAATCAGAGATTGAAGGAAGTTGATTTTACGAACTTTGGTTTGTTCAAAATACATTTAGTAATTTCGTACAATTTTAAGTCTTTACTTAAGTATTTTCAATTTCTTTCAATTTGTACTTCTTGAACTATTGAGGTATTAAGTGTGATTTTGTTTTGCAGATTCAGATTGATAAAACAAGATAGTGAATAAATTATTGCGTTAACAAAACAGATTACGGTGAAACGATTTATTTCGCAAATAATCCAGCAGATAAAGTTAAATGAGCTCATCTGCAGCATTAATGTGATGAACATTCATGCTATGATTTTATATATATGTTTTGGGTGAAATGCACCACTCTGCATGAAGAGTAATACATTTACATGACTTTCACCAATTTTACACTGGTATTACTGTATTTCTACTGAAGTAAACATTCTTCCACCACCGCTCTTTAATGGGCTTCAAATCAAATATGCCTCTTAATACATATTTCTAATGTCATTTATTTCCTGGTAGATGCTTGTGATCTTCCTGTGATCTGGGTTCATTTTCTGTCGGTTTTGTGGTCTGTTTTAGTTCTCAAGCTCCTCTTTTTACATTCACCTTCAATCTGTCATATTTGTATTATTATGTGTATTTGCTTATATTGACTTGATATTAGTCATCTTTATGAGAGTTTATGGAACAACTCTGACATGTCTTGTTACTGGTTGAAGAGGGTTTAAAATATGTTACTTAAGTATTAACACAATTGCTCTGTTACAAGTAAAAGTACAGCCTAAAAATATGTTAGCAAAAAATAAAGTTAATGGACTAAAAGTAGTCTCTGCGTCATCAGCTGTACCTCCTGCTCCCGTTGCCTAGCAACCTGCTGAGCTTGACAATAAAAGCCTTAAAAAGCCCAAAACCTATAATGAAGATAATCTGCTTATTTCATATAATTTAGGAAGATACGCTGCTCCTCTGGAGCATGATATATTTCAAGCTATTTTCCGGTTATTTTAAATTCAAATGAAATCAGTTAATTTATAATACTTTACTAATTTAAAATTACTTTCAGTTAAAAGTCATTTTGCGATGTTAAGGCAGAGGAGATTCCATCAATGTTGTCAATAAAAACCACAACAGCAAACACATTTATTAACTTGCATGCAAGGACTTATTTTCCTGATGCATAGGATACAACGTAGGGAGCATTTTTTGGTTGAAAAGACGTTTAAAAGACGTCTATGTTTAGAACACATTTCAAGGTGATTTTTAATACGGTAATATTTCAAGACATTTCAATATGAAACGTGAAAGGCAATGTTGTGTTCAAAATGAAGAAACGCCGGACGAACAAAGGACATCGTGGATCGAAAGGTTAAAATTCAAAGGTCAAAAGTATTTAATAAAAGAGAAGGTAAAAAGAACAAGTATTACATGCATGTATTTTTGTTGATTACATTATAATGAATACAATTGTAGCTGCATTGGTATTCTATCGATTGCGGTTTCAAAATTACAACATTACCTCGGTATTACACTATCGGTTTAATTTATGAACCGAGTTGTCAGTTTGTTCATAATATTCTACAGTATAACAGCGATAGATTTACATTCTTGTAATTCTATTTCAGGGACCAGAGCCAGAGAAACAACCAGAGGGGAGTTCAAACACATCGTCCACACTTCCGTCTTTAAAGCGACCTCATAACCAGCGAAGCGACCTGCGGACTTCTGTCGCCTCTGTGAGCGCCACTACGATGGCGTTCTCCAAGGAACGGGCCCAGAGAATGACGACTCGTGCTTCAGCAGGTTGGCCAGGGCCTCTCCTCCACGGTCAGGTCACGACAAAGGTCAAATCTCTCCTGAGATTGCCAACACTTCAAGAACCCCGTAAGAGAACCGCAGAAGGCCAAAGCTCCGGGAGAGAGAAAAGGACGCAAAGAGATTCCGCGACGTCTTGTGACTCCAGTTACGAGAGTTATCCCTCTAGCAGCGTGTCTCCACTGAGTCCGGTAACCTCTGTGGAGGTCAAGGCCCCCTTTCAGGCCACAAGCTCACCCAACATGTTCGTCAAAAGCAGCTTCGAGTTCACGCCCGACATCACGGCCGATGAGGGCGACGAGACCTTCAGGTTGCGGTGCTCCGGTCCGGGTCTGTACCTGTGCAGCGTGACCGGCCTGGTGTTCCACATGGGGGGCGATGGGGGGGAAGTGGTTTACAGGATCGTCCCCTGGGACTGGAGGCTGCTGGACCGCCATCACAAGAAGCCCGCGGGACCCTTGTTCAACATCGAATGCGAGCAGCGGTCCGTGCTCGGCCTTCACCTCCCTCACTGCGAGATCCAGAGTGGCGGGGGGGGCGACTTCCTGTCGGTGGCTCATGTGGAAGACGAGGGCGTGGAGTTCCTCCGCCCGAGGGAGGTGACGGAGACTTGTGTCGTGGTGGACGTCTCAGGGCTTTCTGCTTTCGGCAACGTCAAGGACGTGGACTCGCCCTCCCAGCCGGTCCGAGCGCTGGTTCTGCTCTTCTATCAGCCCCCAAAGGACCCGGAGCCCAAGTCCCTCCTCAACGTGTTGATGCTGCCGGGTAATGTGGTGCTGCAAAAGGTGCTGACCGCCCGGAAGGACCAGGTCTACATAGAGACGCCCCCGCAATGCAAACTGCACCCGGACCGGGAGTACGTCCTCTCCACGAGTCCCCAGGACGACCGGGTCATAGTTCAGCCCACCAAGGCCGAGTTTTACTGCAACTACGACAACTACGTCCCGTCCTTCCAGGTGACCCTTGAGACGAGGCTGAAAGAGATTAAGCTGTTTCTGAATGAAGGCATCTGGGAAAGACGAGTCGGCCTCTCCACCGTCAGTGCGTCCCGCAGGTTGAGCGCTCTGGACCTCGTCCACAGCGAGAGGCTGCTCAGGGTACGGAGCGACCTCATTAAGAGCATCTCTGGACCTGTGCTCAAGAGTCTGCTGGACCGACTGTTGGAGGAGAAGGTGATCACTGACGCCGAGAGGGAGGCAGCGGAGGCGAAGCCGAACAGGAGCGACAGAGCTCGCTTCGTCATCGACGCCGTGAGGATGAAGGGCGAAGACGCCAGTTTGGAGATGATTGGCTTCCTCATGGATGACGACTCGTTCCTCTGCGATCACCTGGGGTTGTTTTGAAGCTTCCTCTGCCGGCCGACAGGACTTCCTGTTTACTGTTGATGCTTCTCACAATCTCACATTTAGTAGTTGAGATAATGGGGTCTTTTGTAGTTTTCCCTGATTTGTCGCTTATCGATTCGTACGGCCTTTTACCCAGAAGTCCATCACAGCGCTCCATCTTGGAGGAGATCCCAATTCCTAAAATGGACCCTGAAGAATGTTAAGGGTTCGGCAAGCCAAATTTAAGAATCAATAAGTATATCTTAACTAAACAAAGTGAAAAAGAATCCAGTTACAAAGTGAAATACAAAGCGAACAGTAAAATATTTCATGAAATAGAGAATTCTCTGGTCTAAAGTGACTTATCAAAGCGGCTGCAGGAGAATTCTAACAGACCTTTCCCCGCTTTGGTCCTTTGAAAACTCCTGATGTGTCTTCTTGGGTGCGTTTGCATGTCATTGGCTTCTCCTTCAACACAATTATTTATCTTCATCATGTTTTAGGGCAATTTTAGTCCTGACACTTTACAACTTCAAAAGACTTCTCTCATCTCTTCATCTCCTCCCATCCAATCTTCTGTGAGCAAGGAGGTGAGGAAAGGAAATTAAGAAAGCACAAAATCTGGAAATGAGAAAGACCTGTGGTGATACAACCCGTCTCAATGGCTCCAACATAAATGGGGGACCAAACGTTTATGTTGGAGTAATAAATAACCAAGTTTACTTAAAGAATGCATATACTAAACTAAACAAACATGGAGTCTGATTACTACTGCGAAAATAATTTAAATCTGTCTGGATTTAGCTGTTTATCTGCTGATCGGCTTTGTTTTCTTTTTTCTGTCCTTCTCCCTATTATTGTCCCACTCCTCTACATAAGTAAAGAAAAGATAGAATAATAAAAAAGAATAATTGAATAATCAAATCACTACTTTAAATCAACAGACATACAATACAATATAATTAGTAGCACATTGATATATTGGTTAACATAAGTAAAAGACAATAGTGAGATAGAGATATATATATATAAGCTATGTGAATAGATATTTTCTGTCCAATTTCTTATTTTATTTTTGGGGGTTTTCTTATACTTGACACCCAAACAGCTATTTATAAATATTACAAATTAATAAATAGCTGTTTGGGTATCAAGTATACGAATATATATATATATATATATATATATATATATATATATATATATATATATATATATATACAATTTACTTTACTTTTTAAACAAAATAAAAGAACCCAAATTTTTGGACTTCCAATTACCATGAACGCACCACGCGTAGAAGGGGCGTGGCTTAATAAACCCATCAACCCATGCTGTCTGTTGACCAGGAACCTCGTTCATTCAGCAAGTTGGCTTTTTGTTTTGTTTTTTAAAGTAAAATTACTCATACATCATATGCTAGCTGAAATTGAGACGATGTGCCTTTACATTCCTAGTAACTACTATTGTTTGTTTCTATTAAACATCCTTAGCTCACCAATGTAAGCATGACAGTTGGCACTGGTTAATAATTAAATATTAAACATTAATGTGGTTGTCTTTTATTTTTACTGTCACTACCACCAAGCTGTTTTATGTTTCGATTTGTACACAAGAGAGAACAAAGAACCTGTCCACATGGTTTTATTACATGCCTTGACGGCACGTCCTCATTGGCTGGCACGTTTATCCACTCGACCAATCGCGTCACATGACACTGAGGAGCCCCAACATCGGCTCCTCCGATTGGTCCAAAGCGTTTGGCGCCTCTTGAATCTGCTTCAGCCTTAGTGGGCGGCGAATGCGAGACGGTGAGCAGTTTGAACCGTGGCTGTGCCGACGCGGAAACATTGAAATTTGACAATTTGTCGGGTGGAATTTGAACTGTTGTGTTCTCCATCCACAAACACGGTGCATTTTGTGACAACGCCGGTTCAAAAGCGGCGGGTAACGGCAGGTTTTCGGTCTGTTCGCCGACTCTGGGGACGTGAAAAGCCGGTGTCGCGCAAAGTGATCCGCTCCCTCCTCACCGAGCTAGCTGCTAGCTAGCTGCCGAGCTAACCTCAGAGCTAGCAATAGCCAGCTAATCCCCCCCCACCCACCCGCACAACACAAAGGACGACTTTGCCCGGTGTTTGCCAATCCCGAATAACTTCGACGGATGAGGACTGATCCTCCCGTGAAGGTAAGAAGCGCTGTCAGTGGCCGCTGCTTTAAAATCATATTTACCAGCTTTTTATGACACGATAAACTCATTTTGATGGGATACAAACTTGGCACGACGTCAGACAAGCTATCGTTAGCTTAGAGCTCTGCTTGTTGTTAGCATCTCACCCCGTGAGGATCGATGGAGTCTTTATTGTGATTGGACAGCATGATAAGTGCGATTAAAAGACACAAACAAAATAACTTCAACATGCTCAGCCATAAACACAGGTTCTAAAATAACATTTGTGTCAGAATAAAAGTTTTTTTTCTTTTACTGTTTCACTTTATTTAATTTCTTTTACAGGCCATATTAACATTTTATTTAAACAAAACACTAAATTACAATGACAGTACAAAAGTAAAGCTAGCAACAAACCAAATAGAAAAATAATAATATTTATTTCCCTAGAATTATGCATTATTGCAATAAAATATTATTTCATTACAATCCTGTAGTTTTAACCATTGTGATACATATTTAATGTAAGGTTTTGTTGGGTTGTACGTGATGATTTAGGACTTTCTTACAAAGACTTCTACCTCAAGTGTGAAGTTGGATGATGAGATGTGAACATGGGAGTGATTGAAACTTCACATGTTGTCAGCTTCAATGTGTTTGTCACACCTTTTAAAGCTATTTCATTTAGTCCATCATCACCTCCGGAAATGACAATGTCCTTTTATTATTATTTTTATGATCATTTGCCCGATATACATCTACATTTTTATTTGCAAACATGGCTGCTTTTCTTCGGACCTTCACGGCCGACACGTGTAAACTTGTGTGAGAGCTGGATGGACAGATGTCTGTAATCTACAAAGGAACACATTCATTTCCCGCTGCGCTTCCCCCAGTTGAAGACAGATTTGCCAAAAGGAACGAGGACAATCGGGTCACGCTCTTTAACGGCTTCCTACTTTTTAGATTTCTTTCATTCTATTTCCATAAAGAAAAATCTTTCTTTTGTTCAGCCTCACAATCCAAGTCCCGGAGAAGTGTCCCAAAGGATTAAAAATGCCTCAGCGTTGTAGAAACCTTCATCCGCCTCCCGGTTTCCGTTTTACAGGTCGATCATGGTGCTGACAGGGAAGCGCTCGGAGAAAGGTCCGGCCTGCTGGAAGAGGAGGGTGAAGTCTGAGTACATGAGGCTGCGACAGCTCAAGCGCTTCCGACGGGCCGACGAGGTCAAGGTTCGTCCGCACACAACACGGCGAGACCTTCACGCCACACTGATGCACACCGGAGCCGTAGTCAAACCGGACCTGTGGCCGAGGACACGGGCTCACCTGTAGCACTCAAATATATTACAGTGGTATAAAACATAACAGAACTTCTCAGCAGCCTGCATTAGATAAAAGTCCTTTTGTGTAGTATTACACATCTGGATGGCATCTGTCACATTCAGAAGCCTCGTTCTGTCCATCAATAATCAAATGTCCACTGAAACCTGGCAGTAAAATGGATTTTGTCAGTCCGAGCGTCGTTCTTTGGCGGCTGTCAAAATGGCGCCGCGTTGTGGCTGACTCGTCTCTGGTTCCTTCTCCTTCCTCTGAATGTATTTTCTCTCTGTCCAGAGCATGTTCAACACCAACCGTCAGAAAATCGTGGACAGAACTGACATTCTGAACCAGGAGTGGAAGACGAGGCGAATCCAGCCGGTTCACGTCATGACGTCCGTCGGCTCCTTGAGAGGCACGCGAGAGGTCGGTGGATGAGCGCCCGAGGAAAGGTCTCCGTCGGGGGAAGCTGTAGAAAAGGTTCTGACAGCGCAGGTTTTTCCTCTCTGCGCAGTGCACGGTGGACAGCGGCTTCTCCGAGTTCCCCCGGCAGGTCATCCCCCTGAAGACTCTCAACGCCGTGGCCTCGGTGCCCGTCATGTACTCCTGGTCGCCGCTGCAGCAGAACTTCATGGTGGGAACGAGGGGCCGCAGGGAGCCTGGCACGTATTGCTGTGCTGTAGCATGTAGCATGTAGCATGCTGTATTTATTCAGGCTCAATGTGTAATGTGTGTTTTTTGGCATCAGGTGGAGGATGAGACGGTGCTCCATAACATCCCCTACATGGGAGACGAGATCCTGGACCAGGACGGCACTTTCATAGAAGAGCTCATCAAGAACTACGACGGCAAAGTCCACGGAGACAGAGGTGAGGGCCCGTGCGTCACTCAGGGGTCAAAGGTCAAACAAAACACCCCGTTATAAATACGCATCCGCGTGTCGTGTTTGGCAGAGTGCGGCTTCATCAACGACGAGATCTTCGTGGAGTTGGTGAGCTCCCTGTCGCAGTACAGCGACAACGAGGACGAGGAGGAGGACGAAGAGCAGGACTTTAAGGTGGAGAAGATGGAGGTGTGCGACGGGAAGGAGCATCCGGAGGAGCCGCGCAGGGACGGCCTCGTCAACCATGAGAGTGAGTCCGTCTGTGAGGTCATCCGGGTCACGAGAACGTATAAGCACATATATGCTATATATATATATATATATATATATGTATATATATATATGTGTGTGTGTGTGTGTGTGTGTGTGTGTGTGTGTGTGTGTGTGTGTGTGTGTGTGTGTGTGTGTGAGTGTGTGAGTGTGTGAGTGAGTGAGTGAGTGAGTGACATGGTGTTATTTCTAAAGCACTGTTGATGCTAGCGCGTGCTAAGTGATCGCGTGTAACAAAGATAATGAAGCTCTAACTGGAAGCCCTCACCTGTAAGTCGACTGAAAGAGGCCGACACAGACACTATTTGTTTTTCCATTGCGGTTTGTTTGTACTTGTTTAGTGGAGAAGAAAAAGAGAAACAAAGTCACGTTATTTGTACTTCTCACATAATATTTTACTATTAGTGGGATTCCAGTGCGATCAAAACCTTTCCGATAATTTCGGGGTGCTGTAATGTCCTTTTTTGGTGGTGTTGGTGCTTTTTTTAGAAGCAGCATTTTAACAGCTGTCCGTGTGCTCGTACCACTTCATAACACAACGAGGGCAAAGAGATTATGAGCCGATTATGAACCGGTTTTGAAATGGTGAAACTAAGAGAACGTGAAGAGGAAGTGAGTTGTGTCCCCTGATGTGTGTGTGTGTGTCGTCTACAGGCCGAACCAGCAATGACGGCACCAAGAAGTTTCCCTCTGACAAGATCTTTGAGGCCATCTCCTCCATGTTCCCTGACAAGGGCTCCACGGAGGAGCTCAAAGAGAAGTTAGTGGGTTTAGTGTGGTAACCATGACGATTAGAGTCATACATCTTAATGTTAAACAGTCAATTTGTTTTTGAGAAAGTCGGACTAATGTACACGCAGTATATTGGTGTGTATATATATATATATATATATAAACGGATAGTTTATAGATAAGAGTTAAGCTAAATCTGTGAAGCTAAGTGAGTCTTGTTATTCGCTCAATGGTCTGAAAGAGTCGCTTGTGGTCAAACGGCGAGCGGACGCCTCAGTCAGGCGTTTGCTTCATCGAGTTCATGACTACAGGCATCGGTTTCCCCTCCGTCAGGTACAAGGAGCTGACGGAGCAGCAGCTGCCCGGCGCGCTGCCGCCCGAGTGCACGCCCAACATCGACGGGCCGAACGCCCGCTCGGTGCAGCGCGAGCAGAGCCTGCACTCGTTCCACACGCTGTTCTGCCGGCGCTGCTTCAAGTACGACTGCTTCCTGCACCGTGAGTCGCGGCTCGTGTTCCGTCAGCAGCGCCTTGAACCGCGTTGTCTGTGGCGTTTAACGCTCCTCCTCGTCCTCGTGTCCTCAAGCTTTCCACGCGACGCCAAACACCTACAAGCGCAAGAACTTGGAGAACCTGGTGGACAGCAAACCCTGCGGCGTGGACTGCTACATGTACCTGGTTCAGGTGAGTCCTCGTTCTTTCAGCACGCGGCGGTCTGAAGAACATCCCTGTGTATTTAAGTTTACCGTGATCGGTCAGGGTGGGATGGCGAGCGAGTACCCGGCGGGCGCCGTAGCTGCGGCGGAGCGAACCAAGACGCCCTCCAAGCGCCCGGCGGGGCGTCGCCGCGGGCGACTGGCCAACAGCCGACCCGGCACGCCCTCCGTTTCCTCGGAGACCAAAGACACGGACAGCGAGCGCGAGGGCAGCAAAGACGGCGAGCGGGACGACGACGACGACGAGGAAGACAAGGACGACCGGCGGGACGAAGACAAAGAAGACGAAGACAAGAAGGACGATAACAGCAGCAGCAGCAGCTCAGGTGCAGTTTCTCTCCTCTCGCTCGCAGCGACGGTTCTTTTTAGTCCACGGTTATTAAAGCGTGCTCGTGCCGCCAGAAGGCAACTCGCGCTGTCAGACGCCGGTGAAGATGAAGCTGATCGGCGAGGCCGAGGCGGTGGAGTGGAGCGGCGCCGAGGCATCGCTCTTCCGCGTCCTCATCGGGACGTACTATGACAACTTCTGCGCCATCGCGCGGCTCATCGGCACCAAGACCTGCCGACAGGTGAGCGTCGTGCCGGCAGCTTCGCTGGGCTCTGCGGCTCAGAACGTCACGCTCGCTAATAATCGCTCGTTTATTCTTCTCACTTCTCCCGCAGGTTTACGAGTTCAGGGTCAAGGAGTCGAGCATCATCGCGCGGGCCCCCGCCGAAGACGAGGACACGCCCCCGAGAAAGAAGAAGAGGAAACACCGACTGTGGGCCACTCACTGCAGGAAGATCCAGCTGAAGAAAGGTCAGAGGTCATCCGGGAGAAGAATTGGGGTTGAGAAAATGTGTCGGAGTCACTCACCTCTTCCCGCTCTTCCAGATGGCTCGTCCAATCACGTGTACAATTACCAGCCATGTGACCACCCGCGGCAGCCCTGCGACTCCTCGTGTCCCTGCGTCACCGCGCAGAACTTCTGCGAGAAGTTCTGCCAGTGCAGCTCAGAGTGTGAGCGCGCACACACACACACACACACACACACAGCGCTTTACTCCCCCGGGGACTGAACCCTCCCCCCCACCCCCTCCTGCCCACCAGGTCAGAACCGGTTCCCGGGGTGTCGGTGCAAGGCTCAGTGCAACACCAAGCAGTGTCCTTGCTACCTGGCGGTGAGGGAGTGCGACCCCGACCTCTGCCTGACCTGCGGCGCCGGGGACAACTGGGACAGCAAGAACGTGTCCTGCAAGAACTGCTCCATCCAGAGAGGCGCCAAGAAGGTTTCCACTCGTCTATGAACCGAACGCATAGATTGACGTCTGTTCTCAGACGCTCTTATTTTGAAAACCCAGTATTGTAGTTTTAGTATTTTGACTCCAGATGTTCTCCCTCGTTCTCTCAGCATCTGCTGCTGGCGCCGTCGGACGTGGCCGGCTGGGGGATCTTCATCAAAGAGCCGGTGCAGAAGAACGAGTTCATCTCCGAGTACTGCGGAGAGGTGGGACCTCGCTTCTCGCGTCACGTGTAGTAAAAGTTGACAATCTGACTTATATAATAATTAATATATATAAATATCAACTGCTTCCCATCGGAAAATAAAAGGTTTTATTTAAGTGTTTAAAAATGTGGACCTCGTGGTTGCAGATTATCTCTCAGGACGAAGCCGACCGCCGAGGGAAAGTCTACGACAAATATATGTGCAGCTTCCTCTTCAACCTCAACAACGGTACGAAACGCACGCACACACACACACAGTAACAGTCCGGTTGTCCTTGTTGTTGAGAAAGCTTTCCGCACGTCTTTCCCTCGCAGACTTCGTGGTCGACGCCACGAGGAAAGGCAACAAGATCCGCTTCGCCAACCACTCCGTGAACCCCAACTGCTACGCCAAAGGTGGGCGGGGGAGGGGGAGGAGCTTGGATGTCCGCGGGTGGTGTTGGCGGCCTCGCTGAGTCTCCCTCTGTTCTCTCCTCTGCAGTGATGATGGTGAACGGGGATCACCGGATAGGAATCTTCGCCAAGAGAGCCATCCAGACGGGGGAGGAGCTCTTCTTCGACTACAGGCGAGTCTTCGTCTTCTGCCGCCGCGACGCCTTTCATTGCGTTTAGAAAAACTCTTCACACTTTTTCATTGGAAGGAAGATGTAAACGATTCTGTCTCCATATTTTAGGTTTCAAGGGTTCGGATAAAAATGGATATAAGATGAATACAAAAAGTTATTTTAGTGGTTGAATTATATTGTCAATGTTTTTCCTAAAACATGCTAAGCTAACAACGTGTTGGTCCGATGCTAAGCTAACGACGTGTTGGTCCGATGCTAAGCTAACGACGTGTTGGTGCTGCAGGTACAGCCAGGCGGACGCTCTGAAGTACGTGGGCATCGAGCGAGAGCTGGAGCTCGCCTGACCCGGACCTCCACCGCCGGACTCGACGACAACCGCCAACGCACTCAACACACACGCGCACGCACGCACGCACGCACACACTCACTCCTTTACTTCAGGAAATCCAGACGACTCGTCAAAAACGCTAGAAAGCTTCAAGGAAACTGGGAATCTTTGAAGCCGAATTTTGATGCTGTTTTTTCTGGTTTCTTTAACCACCTTTTTGTCTACTTTTATATTTCGTTTTTTTCTTGTCACGGTTGTCTTCTGATCTGGATTCTTTTTCACTCTTATAGAAACTGAATATTCTTGTTTCGTACTGTTGTTCGTACAAAGTAATACAAATATAATTTTTTTTTAGGGAGGGATGAGACTTGAAACTATTTATTTAGTTTGTCGGTTTGGACAATTTTTAAAAAACAATTCAGTGCTGAAAATCAAATGTTTACTTCGGTGCGTCAACAGTCCAAAACTAAAAAATATTCACTTCACAATTATAACAATGAGAGAAACAGCAGTTTTTCCTTTTATCGTTGATAATCAAATACTAACTTTTATTTTGTTGGACTTGTGCCTTCAGGGCCTCTAGAACATCCGTCACTACGTGACCGTACGTGCACCAGCAGTCTGTCGCCAGGTGTGTGTGTGTGTGTGTGTGTGTGGTGTTCCGGTTGTGTGTCGTTGCTTCAGGTGCTAAATGTGAAAAAACAACCAGGACTACTTACAGGAAGCAGATCAACAAGCTGCTTTTTTCTTTTTCTAAACAAACTCAACCAAAACTGCCTGCATTTCATTTTCCTTACATTTAACTTGTAGGGATTTATTTAATCCTCCAAGAACCAAATCTATTTAGGCCAAAAAACTCATTGAATCCATATTAATTCAATTAATTTAGTGAACATTATATTAACACAACTCTCATCCATTCTCGTTTATTTAACAAGCTAATTGTTAAATATGGGTTAGAGATATTCTGGTGATGTGGATTAAAAGCTGCTGATCACAGGAGCGAAAGAATGAATGAATATGTTCTTAATACTTAGTTTCTTCTCCTTGAAAAAGCCTTTTTTTAATATTAACGTACCAACAATCACACCTTTGACTTTCTTCTTCTGGTGCTCGGCCTTTCATAAAGACAAACCAGCCTGCCGACGTTTAATCTTAAGCCTGGGCTTTATTAGGCTCCATAGCAACGTCTCGTGGTGCTTCTCTTTGGGAGACTTTTGGAAAAACTCAGGTGGTTTTTTGGATTGACATTTCTGACAAATCAGGTGACAGGTTTGGGATCAGACTGATCGATCCCCGAAGCTGCTTTCATTCTTCTGGAGTTTGGGTTCATTAAACCAGCAACTTCAAACATTATCTGATTAGACGGTTGAGTAACAAAATATTACAAAGACACACCTGGATTGTTTACGTCTCCAAACGTCAATTTGTGTTGAAAAAAAGATTTGAAAAAGACTAATTCTCAAAGCATAAAATCACTTGTTACTATTAAAACCTGAACTACAGCTGGACTTTTCTTCTTGAACAAGGAGCACTTCCTCCTCTGATGACACAGGTGCTGATTTTTGTAAAGTTTTACAGGGATTTTGCTGTTCAAAGTGAAGCAAATTAAAATATTGTAAATTGTTTCTTGGTTTTATTTCAAGCGTCTGGAGCAACTTTATTCATCGCACTGGACCGCTGCTGCAGATGTGAACATTTCGGTTGACTAATAGAATATTCTGCTTAAACGTGCTCAACGGCTACTTTTTTGAAAAAATACCAAGAGTTTAATTCAACTTAAATGTCATATTCTGTGTCTTACAAGTTATCAAATTCAAAGTCCCATTAAAAAATCAATATGGCCTTTAACACCAGCACAGATTAAGAACAGGCAATGTTACAAAAACTGTCATAAATTGAGTATTACGTCGATCAATGAAAAGAGTGAATTTCTTGGATAATTAGATCTTAGGTGAAGACTGAGCGCTGGAAACACTTTGCATTCAACAAAAGAAAGTCGGAAGAAAGTGTTTAGAGAAATCTTTCCTTGTTTTTATTTATCACACATTTAGAAAATGAACCACACTATACAAATGTCCCCCGCTGGGCGATGACGTTGGGCCTCCTGCCAGAACCCGACCGACCTCAAACCAAAACAACTTCAGCAGATAAAGAAGCATCATGGCCGCCGTGAACTCACCACCTCCTCCTTTAAATTACAGGCCGGCGTCGCGTCAGCTGCCCAGTGACTCGACTTTTCATCTTCATGTTTTTAATGTTTTCCTGGCGGTCACAGGGAGGCAGTAGCATGCAGAAACCTTTGGATGCGGCTCTCCTCTGATTGGCTGAAGGCTAATTCATTACGTTCGCGCTACGTAAAGTAGGGTCTGTTTTTTCCCTCTTAAGAGTCTGTGGTTGTTATTTACAATATGACAACAAGTGTGTGTGTGCGTTTGAGTCCTACAGATGAGGACGGGACAGGCGAGCGAGTAGCCGGACAGGAGGGGGGAGCAGAAAGGTCACCCGCCCCCCCCCCCAGTCTTATCAGTGCGGTCACATGATCGCTGACACACTCACAACATGTCCGCCGCTCAGAGGGATCCTCACTTTATTACTAGACATGAAATTAAAAAAAAAATGAAGATAACAAATAAAACTGAGGAGAGCCGGCTGGGGGGGGGGGGGGGGGGGGGGGGGTGGGGTATGTAGGCATGGGGGGGCATTCAGGCCAGGTAGCTGTACGTGTCCTTCTCCCCGTCCCACTCGCTCCAGGTACTCTTTCTCGATCAGGATGTCGATGCATTTCTGTCCACAAGAGGGAGACAAACACAAACTTGAAATCAACACAATATGAAAAGATAAAAATGTTTTATTGTCATAATATTATGACACTATTAGTTTTTATTGTTTTCAAAAGCACTGAATGAAGAGCCCTTACGTTGTGCACGTCATTCATACAGACAATTGCATTGTATTTTCTGATGAATAGATGATCATTATTAGTTTGAATTATTATAATGTGATTTTAGTGTTTCTCTGATATTTATTCACTTTACTACGCGTGCTGCAGTCGATCAAAACAGACTTCATTGTTCTCAATGTGGCATTTTGTGTTGTAAAATAACGGCTAAAAGTTGTAATTAATCTGCAGGTCAGAGGCAATAAGAATCATCGGGTTTCAGAAAATGAATGACCTGTTGCCATGGTTACGCGTTACCTTGATCACAGGGACTCGGGGTTTGAATCGGGACGACAGCTGGTTCAGCACTTCAGCCAGAAGCTGCTGGTGCTTCAGGACCTTCCTCATCTTCATGATCCTCACTATGGCGGCCTACACGGCAAATACATGAACCGCTTTGTTATGATCGGGACCGACGTTTAACTCAGTAAAGGTGTAAAACAATAAAAAGGTGCGCGGAGGCGTCAATAAATCACCTGAATGAGGAGCTTCCGATCCTCCTCGATGTTCTTGTGAGTCGTCTCCTGCTCCTGCTTCTGCTCCGTCTTCATCGGCACGTTGATGTTCACCCTCAGCTTCTTACTAAGGGCGGAGAAACACAGCAGTTTGAACACAGTCGAGACGGCGTTGGAGGCTCCGAGGCGTTGGAGGCTCCTCACTTCTTGTATCCGAGGAAGAGCTTGATGACGGTGTCGGGTTTGAAGTCCATCTCGTCCACGTTGGCGTTCTCGTCTTCCATCACCTGTCAGACGGACAAACATCAGTGAGGCAGCGGAGGGGAGTCAAAGTTAAGGTGACGTAATGAAAAGTCAGAATAAGGACAAAGAAAAATACGATTCACTCACCAGAAGCTTCGATTTCAACAAAATCTGCAGAACTTGAACGAGAATGTCCTGAGAAGAAGTGAAACATTGTCAGAGGAGAACGGAGAAGTTTCTACTCAAAGGATCTTCTTCAGGAGACAACGAGTGCGTCCGGCTCACCGTTTTGATCTGCGTGCTGTCGGTCAGCTGCTGCACCGTGTAGCTGTCCTCTGTGTTGTACTGCAGCAGGATGGCCATCTGGAAGGTGGAGGCCTGCAGGGTGTACCTGTAAACAACAACAACAACAACAAATCAAGATGTTCATGAATGAGAAGAGCGTGCAGCCAAAGCTCAACCACCTTGAAGAAACATCTCAGAAATAGTTTTTCACATAATTATTCTCTTCTCATTGCTGAAATGATAGTTTGTGTCAAACAAAGACGCTTGTCAAGCGGCGTGTCGACTGGGAACACGAAGACGCCGAAGCCCCACCTCTAGAAATGAGTCTCACCTGTTCTTGAAGCAGTTGGTGACCAGCTCTCCTTTGGACAGGTGATAGAGCCACGTCAGCTTCCTGCCGCTGTGTCTGCTGGCGTAGAACGCCGTGAAGCGCTGGTAGCTCCGCTCCAGCTGCACGGGGGGGGTGGGGGGGTGTAACATGGGGGGGTTCTCGTCATTGTCATTAGAGATTGGCTGCAGGAAGGAACGAGGCCTCGTGGAGGCGCGATGCGGTTCGTACCTCAGACGGCAGTGCGAAGGTGCAGGACTGCTGGAAGGGCCACGAGCCCGAGCTGAGCACCTGGATGCTGAAGTCTACTGCAAGACACAAGTCGCACACGCTACAGTTCACGCGTCCCTCGGGAATTAAAGTCCTGCAATGTTTGTTAAATCATAAGTGACGTCATGCGGCATGTGACAGGAAAACAAAGCTCTAAAAAAAACAAAGACAACTGGAAATTGATGTTTATATTTTTGCGGCTCCCAGAAAAACACAATGATCCTCTCGAGTCCCCCTTTCACTCACTTATCTGGACTTCACCCAGAGGAGCTGTATGAGAGGAGACAAATGTCCAAATTAGCTGGACTGGACACTTTACTCGTCCAGCTTCCTGGTACAAGAGACTCCTGAGCCGCAGGGCGCCACCTAGTGGTTCCGTTAAACCCAAAACGCCTCGTTGCTGTATAGAAAGCTGCTACACGACCCGTAAAGAGTTTCGCCAACGTTGGATATCTAACGTTTCCTTTACCAGCAGTTAAAGCTTCATAGTGTGAAGACATGAAATGTGGACACATCAAAGGGGAAGTGACGCGTGAAACAGACCAGAGGATCTAGTTGGGTTTATTCCTCATTTATTACGGTAAACATAATGAAACGTGAGCATTGAGACATAAAATGCTCGCTTAACTGACCCAAGAACGAGTGTGTGTGTGTGTGTGTGTGTGTTACACTTACAGTCCAGCGGCTCAGAGTTGGTCAGGTGTTTCTTGAACTGTTCGTTCAGGTCTTTACTGACTCCGATGTCCTGGAACATCCGCTGCAGTTTGGACGTGTACTCGAAGCCGCACGCTTGCTGCACGAAAACAAACAAAAACAGATACAGACGGAGATTTGGAGGCCGAGGGACAGAGTCAGACACCGAGGGACAGACGGACTCTGGTGCGCCACCTTGAGCTTGGAGATCATGCTGGCCTCGGCGTCGTCGCTGGCGCTGTTCTGGTGCACGAGCCGCTTGGCCAACATCTTAGCGTAGAACTTCTGGAAGACGTCTTTGTCCTCGATGTATTTGAACACGACCATCTGAGAAGAGGAAAGAAAACCACCTCAATCACGCAATCGTCCCACTTCTAAAGCAGCTGCACAGCAACGGTTGTGTGTGCACGAGGTGAAAGCTTCTCACCACTTGGTTCAGCGTGTCCTCCAGTTCTGCCTCCTCCGGGTTTTTAGAGCTGCAGAAAGAAGAAGCAGCGATGGAGACGTCAGAACAGAAGTTGCTCGGTTCTGTTTTGCGGACGGTTCCTCGTCCTTTGGAGACCCACAGCGGCGTGACTTGTGAGTCAGACGTTAAATATAAACTCTGGAGGACTTTGTTGTCTCGTTCCGTTGGGATAAAACGGCGGAGCGGAGGAAGTGGCGTCGGCCGGCGTCTCACCCACCTCTTCTTCAGCAGCGAGTCGCAGTAGCGGGCCAGCAGCTCTGGGGACTTGCTGGAGGACTGAGCCATCCGGGTGACGGCGTTGTTGTTGATGAAGCGGCCGCACGCCTGTGAAGAGACACGACAAGCCGCGGTCAGAGAGGGTGGGGTGGGCACAAAGCCAGGGCCAGGGCGGGGTCAAGGGTCACCGACCTTGTCGAGCGCGGCGACAAAGCCGGCGTCGTTGTTGAAGGCGGACATGACCAAGGCGTTGTACTTCTTGTGGACGTCCAGGGTGGTCTGCACGTACACTTTGGGGTCCTGGGGGGCAAAGAAACACTCATTCAGTGTTGGGAAGACTTATTGGTCTCATTGGTCGAAGAAGCCCAAAGAGGTTTTGTTTGGGTTTGGATCAGAACACAAACTAGTCGACTTAAGAGTCCAACAGGGTTCCGTACGTTGAGCGCGGCCTCGCCACACTTCTCGATGGCGGCCAGGCCCTGGTTGTGGATGTGAGTCTCGAGAAGCTTCTTCAGCTCGCCGAGACCGTCTGTGATCCGCGAGACCAGGTTGTACATCCGGCCCAGGTCTGAGAGGAGAGGGGGGCACACGTCAGTCCTTCAGCAGGACCACCTCATTCAAGTTTGTTTGTGGCAGGATTAAACGTTTTAGGAGATATTTAGGAGCTTTTTACAGCTTGTTCTTACCGACTGCTTAACAGAATCCCATCAAACGCTGGTTTACCTTCATTCTTGTCGGCATCCAGAAGGTTCTGGAACTCTGTGTGGAAGATCTCCAGGTGCTTCTCTATGAGGACCTGCTCACACTTCCTGGCCAGCTCGTCTTGGGTGGACTCGTGGAGGTAAACCTGCACGCGGCGCTGCTCCTCCAGCAGACGAGCCTCCGCCTGATGAATAAACACTCATTTCATTCATTTGCTCTTCACAGCTTCTAAAAGCAACAGGCCGCGCTGCGACCTTCTACCTTCTTCATGTACTCGGTGACGGGGTTCTGCTGCAGGAACTCCGTGCTCTCCCGGGTGTAGAAGCGCTCCGTGTCGGTGAGGAACTGACACTCAAAGTACTCCTTGTACACGGACAGCGTGGGGCCTTTGGCGTAGGCGTCCTCCTCGTTCAGGCCCAGCTCCACTGGAGAGGCCGAGGGAAGGAAGGAAGGAAGGAAGCAAGGACACAGGAGGCACAGAGGTAAGGCGACCCACGCACCGGTTTTACAATGTTAGGAGTAGAACAGCGGTCCCGTGACCTACCGTAGGACTGGACCACCCCGCTGATCAGTCGGGTGTTGATGGTCTCCCCGTTCCTCTCCCTCTCGATCAGCTTCAGCACAGCGTTTGTGACCTGAGGAACAGGTCGTTATTATGAGGTCATTGACAGCAGGGGGCGTCGTGCTGTTTGAGTGTCCTCGTGTACGTTTTCCCACCTGTTTGTTGAGGGGTCGGAATAAACACTCCCTCCAGGTCACGAGTGCCAGCTGGGAGGAAGAACAAGAAGGTCAAGCAGAGGTCAAGGCTGCATGTATGAAAAGTACCTTGCTTCCACTAAACGTTTTCTTTTGAAAATACCGACGTCATTCATTCATGACGTTCGATTCCCGTTACGTGCGGCCGAGCGGCACACGTACCGAGTAGATCTCGTAGATGCCCTTGCGCCCCTCGTCACACTCTCGTCTGACCCAGTGGCGGTTGAGGTAGGCGCAGATCCCGTTGAGGACCTTGCTGGAGAAACGGTAATCCTCCCACTGCTGGGTGTAAAACTTGAGGACGCACTCGTCCATCAGATCCTCGCCGTCCTGGCGGGGAGAGCGGACAGGAAGGGAGAGCGCGGTGAGAAGCGGCCTCTGACCTCTGACCCGTGACCTCGGTTGGCCTGTGTGGACTCACCTTGAGCAGGCTGGTCAGGTAGTTCTTCAGGAACTCTTTGAGCCGCTTGTAGAGCTCCAGGCCTACAAACTGAGCCCCACCCGGAGTGGTGGTCTTTTTGGAGGGCTTGGTTGGCGGCACCGAGCCCCGGCCTTGGCTGGACTGGTGGACGCTGGTACAATAGTTATATACATGTCTGGAGGGGGGTTAAGGAATAAACGTGTGTGTGGACTGGAGATTAATCACAAAGTGTAACATTAATCACGTTTTACCATCAGTGATGACATCATTGATGTTTTTCTCTGATCATGTGACACAACAGGAGGAGGTAAAAACATGACGTTTGGAATGTCTCATGGTTTGACAGACAAGCTGCTATAATGAAACTACAAAAGCTTGTGATATCGTACAATAAGGACCAACAACGACCGCCGACTAGCATGAGCGGCTAAATAGTTTCTTTTGTGCTGTTATCCAATGAATGAACGGTAAACAGGTGACATCACGGCACTAATGGAAACTTTTCAGGCATTGCTATCTTATGTTATTTGCAACCAAAATGACATTTGGAAAGAGCCGTAGACGTAGAGACGCCGTCTCTGGTAGATCCTGTCAATCACAGTAGCCCCGCCCTGAAGCCTGCCCCGCTTCATGGTTGGACTCTAAACAGACCGTAATTTACTAAATGAACATGGCTTGAAACGAGAGATTGAGGCCATGAACTCAACCGGACCAGAGTCGCCGCCCCCTCGTGGTCAGCGGAGAGAACGCAGCGTTGGCATATTCACCACGCTCGGCTGCAACAGAAGCTATAAAAGGTCAAAGCGCTCTGCAGCTTGAGGTTTCCCTGTTAAATGTCTGGTGGAAAACGTTTAGTAAACGGATGGAAAATGTCCTGACCACAGCGTCCCTGCTCTACTTCATAAAGATCTTTAGTTCACACAAAACATCCCTCCGTGTCCAACAAAGCTTGTAATAATTAGTGAAGAGGGACGCGGGCCCAAAACCCCCGAAAGGCCAACACGACCTTCACGGACTCGCTCTGCCGGAGAGGATGGACCGGCGCTCTGAGATCATCCGTGCAGACTTCACGGAGTCGATGACATCCTGCCGGGCTGAAAGGTGCATAACAGGAAGCCAGGTTGTCAAACAACTAAATGTGCTCTCGGTTCTGTGGAGTTTGAACAATTGAAGGTGATTTACTCCGTGTGGTTAACGTGTGACTGTATTTGTCCCTCCCCCTCGTCCCCCCAAGCTTCCAGTTCCCTTTTTGCATAAAGAAACAACATGTTCGAGTAACACCTCATGAGGTGTTTTGCATCCTGCTTCCAGGACTCCGGCCCGCTGGGCATCGGCGTGACTCACTATCAGAACACAACACGTTTAGGTCTGAATCAAGTCGGCCGTGTCGGTCGTGCATTTAAAAGAAATGCATGATTTCTTTTCAAGTTCTCTTACAACTCGATTGTGTATTATCTAAATCGATAACGCGCCAGAATAAAATGAAAAACTCAAATTAACCAACAGCCTGAAAACCCAAATATTAATCACATCACTATTAAATAACACATCTGTTAAGCTACAACGGGTGAATTTGGAGTTTAAATAATCTAAAATCAGTTTAATCAATTTTCCGTGGCGCCCAAAGATCCGGCCAGCGCTTAAACGTGTAACGGCAGCAGCGGCAGGATACGTGTAGAGTTCCATGTAGCGCGACTTGGCCATGCTCTGCCGCGTGTACACCTGCTGGATGCCGGCCCGCAGGTCGTCCCATATCTGGTCCAGGCCTATCTGTTTCAGTCCGTGGGGGTTCTGGGTCCTGTTCGACGACATGGCGGATACCCCTCGTCCTCTCCTTTCACCCAACAATGCCCTCCCTTTGCTGCTTCGGCGGGCGTTGTAACCCCCCCACCCCGCGGGTCGCTTGTGTCCTGCTCTGCTCTCAGAGTGCGCGGTCCATCGGTCGGCGGCGCTTCGGGAAGCCGGTCGTTGGGTTGTGAGGCAGGATGCAGTCCCACTCTGCACACCTGGGTGGCGCTGTCTGCCCCGCCCCCTAAAACCGCTGGCACTCCTCACCAGGTGACCTGCAGCCAAAAAAAAAAAAAAAGAGACGTTAATTGAGTAAAGGTTTATTTGAGACCTCAGAATCCCGGCCCGGAGTAATGTGCCGACACGCGTGACGTCAGGCGGCTAATAACGGATTAGTCCACTTCAGCGCCGCCATGATTTCCTCCACTAGCGCTCCTCTTCCTTTGCACATTTGGTAGCTGATTGACCCCTACGGCGTCCCGTAGGAGGCTCGGTTAAAGCTGGGCGGTTTGGGGAAAATCAAGTGGATGTTTTTGTCTAGACTGAAGATTTTGACGGGTTGATTAGTGGCGGTTTCACAAAAGTATTTACACAATTATACGTTTGCTCAGTAACGTCGGTACACAACAGCCTGGTGAGATAAAAGAGAACGGGTCATTGCTGTCAAAAATGATGTTGATATCACATATCAGAGCGTATAAACATGTATATCTGCGGTCAGGACAGAGATCCTATCAGAAGATGCAGCAGGGAGCTACGCTGTAATTTCATCCCCTCGCTGAGGACAAGAGAGCGTCGACATCTTTAAAGCTCCCGGCCGAGGGGAGAGATCTGTACATTTATCTCCACAGAGAACAACAATAAAAAGATGCCAGGTTGGACTTTTCGGTGTTTCGTTGTTCTGGTTAAACTGAAGGAAGGATGCAATCAGGCTTTACTTTTCCCTCCACGTCGCTCACAGCATTCAGACATTTACTCATTTGATTTCCAACGGAACCTTTAAAACCAGTAGCTGTGAAACCCGATCAGACACGCGTTTAAGGGCTCGCGTTTAAAAACACGGGGTTCAAATAGATCCCCGATCATTAAACAACAGGCCCTGCTGTGCAGACGCCGACTGGCGGCCGGCAGCGCGGCTATATTTAGCTGCCCGTCCCTGGCAATTCACCGCCATCAGGGAGACTCGGGAGTCAGCAAGTGTAGCAGCCGGTTAGCGGGAGGAAGCCGAGCGACCCGCTCCGCTTACTTCCTGTTTCGTTAAGGACACTGGAATTTAGGCTTTTTGTCAAAACACAAAATGTTGTCTTCTCCCCCAGACACACAAGCACAGCAGTCTGCTGCCACGCCGCGGCCCCCACCGACTCACTACGACCACACGGAAATAAACCTTTTCTGACCAACGCTGGATTTCTAAGCTGGGATCAGGCCCGGTTGTTTATGCAACATTTGAAAAGCAGCTCCTTAGCGTGTTAAAAATAAACCCCTTCATGTGCTTCCATCCAGCAGGATTAAGCAATAAAAACACACTGACACCAAATGAGTAATTCTCGGGCTACTAAGTTACAGAAGCTGGTTAATCTTTAAACGCTGTAACTTTATAACAAGCCACTTAATTTGTATTTGTTAAAAATACAGCTGCCCCGATGTGAAGATGGTGGCGCTGTTGGCTGCCTCGGAGTCGTGCAGTAGTTGAGGGCGGCCGTCGTGGCGTCTGACCGGAAGGACGACAAAGCGTCTCGAGCGCGAGTTGGCTGTGAGTTTAGGAAGCGTGTGACCGTGAGCGGAACACTAAAAGTCACTATCTCAGCAGGTCCGTGTTCATCCAGACAGAACCGCGCACTCGCCCTGTGCTCCATGGTGAATAATGCAGGAACAGAAGGAGCTGGACGGATGCGTTTCTCTGGCGTCGTTCCTTGCAAGATGAAATGAATTGACTGATGTTCGTCACAGCGGACGCAGAACGCAGACTCTAGACCCGTTTCAGCCTCCGCTGCGCTTTATCGGAACCTCACTGAAAGGCAGCCACTACCTACCCGAGGTGATTCAGCAGTTGCCATGGCAACCGAGGCAGACAATACCTTTCCTAGTAGCTACCCAACTACGGAAGCTAGAGCGCTGATTCCGCGGTGCCTCCGCTCGCCGTCCTTAACAGCAGCTCTAGGGTCAGATTTCAGATTCCCAACACCAGGAGGTTTTGGATGTGCGTGTCCTCTGCAGTATTTGACCCATTATCACTTCCACAGCTACGTTACCGGGGGTAACGGGACGCATTACTTTCTAGAAAGTTTGTTGTGAAGCAGGAAACCTGCGCCAGTTCGTCACGATCGGCGCCGGCTCCTTCGTACGCGGCAGCAAAGTGTAGAAGGTCGGAGAACATGTCAATGACATCCAGGGAACAACTGGTCTGCGTGAGTGAAGCAGTGCTGTTAAGACTCGTTTGCCTCTATATCTGCAGTGTATCTCTTGTTTCCATTCTGAACTGAGGAAGTGGATTGGTTACGCATGAAGTACGATTGTCCTGACTGTCAATTTATTTTCAAAATCAATTGTTATGAATTGCAGTGACTTTACAAGGCCACATGTTACACAACATCTTAAATGACAACAGGGACTTGCATGCAGTGAGGTAAGAGAGCGGGGTGGGGGGAAGCCAGACTCAACACCGTACTTTTAAAAAACAAACAATAACAAAGTGACAACTTCTGGTAGTCAAACTCCGTTCTGTAACGATTGGTGACCCAATTAAACTGGTGAGTCATCGGGAGCATTGAAGCCTCAGATGAATCGCAGCGACGATGAACACTGGCGTGCGCGGTGTCAGTGCCCGTGTTATCCGGCAGCGAGGGAAGACGTTTCCTTCCTTTCCTACGCGGCTTTTGATTTCTGTCGCTCTACTCGGCATTCAGAAGAGCAGCCGAGCACAAGCGCGCCCCCCTCTAACCCCCCCAAACTGACTTCACCATCGGGGCCATCAGGTCCAAAAACGATTCCTACAGCAGGTTGTTGAGTTAAAGCCAGAAATAAAATGATTCTGCAGTGGAAGTGTCACGCCTCTGAAATCTTAAAGATATTGTAATAGGGCATCAAAACATGCTCCACACTCTTACAGTTAATAGAACGCTATCGATTCATCCTTCAAGGCTCCATGAATCGCTGAACACCAAGAAGACGCGTTGGCTTTAATAGTTTAATGTTTTGAGCAAGTAAGCTAAAAGCTTCCCTTCCGAACAGACTTAAAGTCTTCTCTAGGCAGGTAGACGGCCATATGCTAAAGTCAGTCAATAATGATGCTACAGCAGATGTTCTTTACAAGGTGAGTTAACACCCACCCTGTGGGCTGTGAAACGCAGGCTGATTCGGAGAGGATGAGATGAGTCGATACACGTACAACTACGCCTCAGATCTCCATTTAAAAAGGGGGGGAAAGAAATGAAGTGCTCTCATGAAGAGCCCAACTTAAACAGTCAGCCGACATGGTGACAGACAACGTGGATGCTCGCTCAAGCTAGAATATTAACAGAATTCAGAATATTCAATATTGGGCAACATCCGCTTTAAAACTCATATGTTTCAAAAAGCAACCCAGCGTTGACAGATACTCTCAAGACAAAAAGACAGTGAATAGACAACAGGGGTCCCTTTTAACAGAAATACAATAAAACACAAGTATGCCCAGGCCTGGAAAGGAGTATTTTATACCACAGCTCTGTAGGGTATTCCTCGGGAGAACCTTCCACAAATGCATATTGACAACAACCTCATGTTGGTGTAAGAAACAAAGTGGGTTTGTGTTCCTAGTGTCCACCAGCTGAGGGTCCTGTTCTTTCAGACGTATCAATAACGTGTTCCTTGTCCGTATTCCCTTTCCCCCCCTCCAACATCTCCAGGCCTAGAAAGTGGCATGGATCGGGTATTTATTTTACCGGTATTCAGAGTGGGAGCCCTGTGCCAGGTTTAAAAATCACCCGACGTTGCCCTCCTCACCACGGCGACGCGAGGCCGATCCGATGGTTTAACAGCGATCTGTACCCGCGCCAGCTACACCGGGTCCCCGACACAACCCCACTGAAACAAACGAGGCTGTAAGGACCGCTTTTCTTCATATTTGCCAGGGATTAAACAAGAAAACCTGAGCCGCGAATGGAGTCATAGGCTGCTACGCAATACTGGTTGCTATCATTAGCTTCACGGGGCTCATCTAGCCCAGTTAGCTCGCAGGTAACGTTAGCTTGGGCTAACAAGCGCTTGGGAGGATTAGCTTCAAATGGAAATACAACAATCTAGTTTGACTGTATTTTTAATTCACTTACAGACATGTGTAGTGTTTGGGGTGTATTTGGGGTAAATGCTGCCTGGGCCGAACTAACCGCAGTAGTCAGGAAAGACCAACTGCCCGTGTTGTTGCTGTAAAATGGCAGCCTAGCTTCTCGGGCTGCTCAATAATGAGTCAGGAAAACAGTTCGCTAACAGTTTAGCATTAGCTTGCTAGCTAGCTCGGGGCTAGTTGGGTTGTCGTTAGAAGAGGGGGGAAAATAGCGCCACCAGATTACGTTCGCGACTCCGAAGCGTCACCTTACCATCTTAAGACCACCGCTATCGCTGTAGAGCAGCTCTACGTGTAGATGCTCGGCCCCAGAAGCTGCCTCCTCCGCGGTGTGTCGCTTCCCTTTCGGAGTGGCTCTGCTCGCCCGTTGCTAACTGCGACCGCTCTGCTTCGTTCGCACAAAGATCAACTCAGCAGCCACAGAAGCATGCGACCTTCAGGTACCCTCGGAAATGTGGACGTTACGAAGGAAACGTGAACAGGTATTTTTGTTTCTTCCGTATATTCTCGTAGAGACAAATATAAGATAATAAATGCTAAATAGTACTGCAATGTTATTTTTTCGTGACCCTTGTTGTTATTTCTACTTCTACTATCAGTAGACTACTGTCAAATTAATAAAATGATTTTGTCATCTTTCCCTCAACATTGTTGTACATACATGAACTCAAATAAATATTTTGCCTCTGCAATAATTCAAACTTAATTTGTTAAAAAAAATCGGACACACAGTGAATCCTTATTATCATCACACGCAGATTTATCTGTAAAACAAATATAACCGAATTTCTTTACATATGGTAGAGTATTCTACACCATAAAATTTTAAAACCATAATATTATAAGCTCATGATTACCTACTATGATATAATGAGCTTATAAGTACTGTCCGTGATATAACGTGCTCATAAGTACACGGCACTAAAACGTCAGAGCTACCAATGGGTCCCTGAATGCGGCGACAGCGTCACACTATGGTGCCCCCGTTGGACTACAGGCATGGCCGTGAAAAACAATCACAGCTGCTTCAAATATACTTATTGCAATATCTCACGCATGCGCATGTGGTTGTCTCAATCACCCATTATGACGTCACAAAAATGCACGAGGGTTTTTGTGTCCTTTCTATTCTGGCGATGATATTGTTTATTTCGTCATCATAGTTTATTCCTAGAGGGAACCAAATGTTCTCCAAGCACGAATTACACAACGTGCTGTGTGGTTCCACCCTGTGCACTACACTGGCTGTGGAACATGAAGAACACGCCCTCTGCTGGTGGACGAGGAAACGACAGAATTAATTCATTCACTTACATCAATTCGCTGTAAATTAATCCTGAACGTTACGACAACCAATTTTATAGGGAGGGTGGAAATGCACAGTTTCAACAAGTTTAACAAACTGTTGTTTTTAAGTAAAAATCTGAAATACTTGTTCTTTTCTTGACGTTTTTTTACTTTTATCTACCAGGACAAAACACAGACAATACCAGCTGATCACAAAATAAATATTTTTAATTTATGAAATATTATTAAAATGATAAACAACATTACAAAGACAATACCTATAAAATACCGTAAAACTGACAGAAAGACTACTGCAGCCAGCTGCAATATTAAAATGCTGCCCACATCTGCACAGTGAATGCTTGATAATAACGTTTTCTTACTTTTACTTTGATGCTTTGGATACATTTTTCTCCTGGACACGTGACTTTCTCTTGCGTCATAGATACTTTTATTTAAGTAAAAATGTCTAAATTCCTCCACGACTGTAAATTGATTTCTTACAAATCAAGTGGGGGTTATTTAATCGCGCTATATGCAACATTTCCCATGAGCCTCGTCAACAGCTGAATGAGACTCAAGCAGACATGTCAGACCTTTAGCATGAATTTAACAGTTTATTGCTTCTAGAGAGACGGACTGCTTTTGACGTGTCTTACATGTGTCTTATATGTGTCTAATATGTGGCTTCCAGTTGAAGTTAAATGTGGGGACCACTTCCACTTGATTGGAAGTAACCCACGGCCTCATTCAGGGTTTATTTGTACATTTGTGTTTCTTTCTACATTAACGCAATATATTTGTAATTTGCAGTGAACAACCATTAATAAATACATTTTATATTAAAAAATATATTACACAACACACACTGAACAACAGTTATCAAAACGTATACATTTCTGTGAGCCACTTTTGTACATTATTTATTGACATTTAGTCTTTAGATAAGTGAAGATAATCCAGTTTAAAATCACTTTGAGTTCAGCTGCCAGAGACGAGGAGAGTTGACTCAGCGTTCCACGTTTGCCTCAACAACTCACCTTAAAACAACAACAAGGCAAATCACCACAAATGATTTAGCTTTACTACACAAATATCTCAAGTACACTTAATGTACTGCTTGATACTTCAAGAACCTTTCACAGGGATTTGTCTAGTTACATCACAGATTCAGATTATTGTGATTAAACAACTATGTATTATAAAATGACATAACACAACTCTGAAAACCTCTATTACTTTTGGTGCTCTCGCACTTTTGTTCTTTTCATGAAATGAAACGTAAATGAGTTTTCACACCGGTTTCTGTTTCTTCTTTGCTTCCATCATTTCCTGCTGCTGCTTCAAGCGAACTTCCTCCAGACTCAAACAGCCACCTGTTAGCACACACACACACACACACACACACACACACACACACAGTCAGATGCACGCACAACGCATGATACATCTTCCTCTGTGTGTGTCTCTCACCCACACTGCTGGGGTCGATGGAGACATAAGCCATCGCTCTGCTCAGCCGAAGCTCCTCCAAGGCGGCAAGCTCCGCCTCCGCCTCTGCTCAACCAATCACACGTCACATAACAATCAAACCTGTGGTTACATATCGTATGGAGATATGCTACAATATGTTACACAATACAAGTAAAAAAAAAAAATGAACGAATGACGCAAAACATACAACTTCAGTGTAAAACAAGTGAATTGACGCTGCAGAGAGAGGTTTTCCGTTTAATACAAATACTTAAATATTATTCCAATGCACATGAGACAATTTAAACACATTGATCCATCAGTAACCAATCAAAACAATGAGTGATTAAAATACAAACCAGACAGCAGTAAACTATTTTTCTGCTGCTCTCACGTGAAGCCATTCAAAATGCATTCTCTGTAGTGACCAGCAGGGGGCGACTCC